GAATGCCAGGAAGGTCGCATGGCAACGCCTATGACCCAGGTTTCCTTGGAGAAGGCAGACACCCTGTGGCACACCGTGCAGATTGACACCTTCTACATGCGGATCGGCACGGAGGTGCACCACTTCCTTCTCTACCTTGACGAGGCTTCGGGCTACGTGGTGACCGACGAGATCGTGACCCACCCAGATGACCAGCACGAGAACGTGGCGACGCCAGAGATGTTGGAGTCTCTTCAGAAGAGCTGGATCCAGTACTTTGGCATGCCCAACCGGATCCGGTTGGACCTTGAAGGTTGTTTCAGAGGCAGAGACTTGGAACGTTTCTGTGCAGAGCGAGGGATAGAGCTTGCCCATGTTCCGGCCCATGCTTCGACGGGTGATGTTGAACGAGCAGTTGGAGAAGTTCGGCATCGGGTTGAAGTTTTTCTTCGGGAAGCCCGAGACTGTTCTGTCCGTGAAGCAGCTTGGGCGATGGTCGATGCACATAACACTCAAGCACGTGTTGGAGGATATGCTCCAGCTCAGTGGGCATTTGGCCGTTTTCCGGAGGAGGACCTCAACCCAGCTTCAGCCTCGCATGTGCAGTTGCCTGGTCATCCCCTGGAAGTGCAACTACGCCTTCGCCGAGAAGCTGAAGCACAGTACAAGAAGCAGCAAGACCTGGCCAAGTTGAGCCGGGCAACCAACTCGCGAGCAGCCCCGGTGAATCAGTTTTTGCCGGGAGACCTCGTCTACTACAAGCGGTTCAAGACCCCTCGTGATCGACCAGCGCATGATGAAGTAGATGTGCCTCGACTGCGTGTTGGCCGATGGTTTGGACCTGGACGGGTGCTGGCGGCCGAAACTCGCGTGAGAGAAGAGGGAATTTATCGGTCAGCGAGCAGCTCCATCTGGATCATCTCCCAGGGAAGACTGAAGAAGGTTCACCGCAATCAGCTTCGACACGCATCAGAGACCGAGCGCCTCATTGCGGAGAACACAGATGTTGCTGGCATGCCGTGGACTTTCACGCAGCTCGTTAGCCAGCTCAACAAGGGCGAGTTTGACGACCTCACCCAAGGATCCTTGAAACTTGGGCCAAAGCAGAGATGTGAGCTGCGAGGGAGGAGCCGGAGCCGACTTCGAATGGAACGCCGGAGTAGCGAGCCCAAGATCCCTTTCAAGCCAGAACCACAGGAAGATGACGAGCTCATCGAGGATCCGGAGAGTCGCAAGCGCCAGCTGTCGAAAACTCCGGCGTCACCCGAGGACGAGATCGACATCGATCGGCTGCTCTCCGACCTGAACCACAACCCGCTGGAACGATATACGCCGGAGGAACGGGAGAAGTTCCGGAAGAAGAGAATGAGCCATGAAGGAGAGGAGATTCCCCTTCATGTGAGGAAGAGCCTGCCTGCAGCTTCCTCTTCGAGTCCTGTCCAGTACGTCGCTGAGGAAGAGGCAGAGAACGGCATCTTCGGCATCACCATCCCGACCCCCGCGAATGAGATGGAGTGGAAGAAGATCGTAAAGAACCCAGCCAAGTTCGCGGCCAAGAACGTCCAGAAGGGCGCGGAGGTGGAATGGCGCAGGTTGTCGGAGGAGCAGAGAAGAGCTATGAAAGAAGCCAAGCAGCTCGAGGTCGACCAGTGGATCATTCGCAAGGTTTGTGCCAAGGCGGATGTGCAGATCCCGGCCAATCGCTTGATGCGGATGCGTTGGGTGCTGACCTTCAAGGCCGGGGACAGCGCCGACTATGTGAAGGCAAAGGCCCGGATCGTGCTCTTGGGTTACAGCGACCCCGACCTCACAGAGCTCGTGACTGCCGCCCCCACTCTTTCGAGGCGGGGCAAAATGTTGCTTTTGAACTTGGCCACGCACAAGCGGTGGGATTGCCTCAAGGCTGACGCGAAGTCCGCCTTCTTGCAGGGCAGCTCCAATCAGGCCAAGAGGAACATCTTCGCCGTCCCGGTGGAAGAGCTTTCAGAAGCTATGGGATTGCCACGGGGACAGGCGGTTCGCCTGCTCAAGGCTGCCTACGGACTTGCTTCGGCTCCAAGAGAATGGTTCTTGGATGTGTGTGATGTCATGCAGGAGAAGGCCGGCCTGACCCGCTTGCAATGTGACCCCTGCCTGTGGATCTTTAAGGACAACGGGAAGGTGGTTGGTGCGATCGGCGCTCACGTCGATGATTTTCTGATCACCGGCGACGAGACCAATGCAAAGTGGACTGCGGCCCTGGACATCCTCTTCAAGTCCTTCGCTTGGTCGCCTTGGGAGGCGATGCCCTTCGCGCACTGCGGCATTAACCTCATGCAGAAGAACGACTATGGCTTCATCCTGGACCACACGCAGTACTGCGAGGAGCTCAAGCAGGTTGAGCTCGGCCCCAACGACAAGGAGATGAACAACTCCATCATGAGCCAGTGCCGGGCTGTGCTTGGTGCGGTGCAATGGAGAGTCCAGCAGACGGGCTTACAGCATGCAGCGAAGTTGTCTTGGCTGCAGAGTGCCTTGCCTAAGGGCAACTTGGACGTAGTGAAGGAGATCAACAAACTATGTCGTGAAGTATATCAACAACGAAGCCTCAGCATCGGGGTTGAACAACTCGGAGCAGAGGCGGATGAGGAGCTCATCATGGTGACGTGGACAGATGCAGCAGTCGGGAATCGACCTGACCTCGGTTCAACTGGAGGACACCTTGTCGGCCTTGCACATCGGTCGATTCTGGATGGAAAGCGGGTGCCCGTGAACCCGGTTTCCTGGAAGTGTGGCAAGTTGCATCGGGTGGCGAAGAGCAGCTTGTCGGCGGAGATTCAATCTCTGGCGGAAGGCGAGCAGGAGCTGATGTTCTGCCGGGCGCTTTGGGCAGAACTGCTAGGCTACCAGCTGGACTTGCGCCGGCCGGAGGACGCGACAATCAAAGTGGACGCGGCTCTGGTCATCGACGCGAAGTCCGTCTATGACGCCTTCTGGAAGGAGGACACAGCTTCAGCAGGGTACTCCATGAAGGGGAAGTATGCGGCGCTTGAGCTCATGGTGACGGCAGAGAACCTCAGACGCCAGAACACTTCCTTGCTGTGGGTTTCATCGGAGGCCCAGCTTGCTGATGGGTTGACAAAGTCCCAGGCTCAGGAGGGATTGAGACGGTTCCTCGAGCGCAAGCAGCTGTGGACGGTGAAGTACGACCCAGACTTCATCGCCGCCAAGAAGAAGAAGAATAAGAAGTCCCCTGGTGTGGCACCCCAAGAGGAACCTGACGTGAGCCCCGACGTGAGTTGGACGGAGTTTCTCCGGAGCGGCCAGAAAATGGCAAGCTTCGCCTGAGATCTTTGGGGCATGTCAGTGTGTAAGCCTCAGCCGTGTATAGCATGTTTCATGGAGAGGCTACGATCGCCATTTTGGCCCTGGCCCACCTAGGGACCCCTTAAGCCGAATCGTCGCACAGCGACGCTGCTACATGGAAAACGCGTGACCTGCGAGCTCTACTTGCGGGACCACTTGTTGAAGGTCGAGTTCACTTGACTTGGTTGGTGTTGCTTTGGGGTTTTGGAACCTGACCCCAAGGTGCTACCGAAACTTTGAGCGAGCTCCGCCATCTAAGGCGAAGCCTATCTCAACTTCACTGTTCTTGGCATGTTTTTTTAGTTTTTTAGTTTTTGGGTTCTGTTCATTTTTACTGGGGGTCTGCAAAAAACAGTCAGTTTTTTGCTACCATACCAAGAGTAGAGATGTCAACTAAGGCGTTGGGCACATTGCGTACATCTTGCGCCATGGGGCCCGGGCCAATGGGGCCAGTGACGCCCAAGACTCCGTCACAGGTGATTTTGCGCGCTGCCCGAACATGATGTTACTTCCTTTCCTTTAGACGCAACCAACAAAAGCCATCGAGTTTTTGCTAGGGATTGTTCTGGAGTCTGGAGGCACTCCGGATGGGAATATCATCCATGGAACCCAACATGGAACCCAACAAGCCCTTTCACTAGTTTGTCCTTTTGGGTGGCCCCCTGAGGCGGTGGCCTTCCGTCAATTTCAAGGGGCCCGGGGCCCCTTTTTGGAAGCCAAACCCGGACGGACATCGGGGGATTTTTCTGAGGAATCCAGGTCCAAGTGCGAGACATGTTCGCCTCCAAATCAGCAGCAAGTTACCCTGCAAATGTCTCGAAACATATTCCTGAAACATGGGATTATCACGTTTGTGGAAAGCACACATCACCGAACAATTCCCCATGTTCGGCCGAGTGAGTCGTTGGTAGCACAGGAGATGACCAAACATAAGTCGCTCATTTAGAGATAATGTTGTTATCGGCGGGTTATAACTGGTCAGGTGGCTAACTTCTCATTAACTTGGCTGGAGCATCCAAGTACAGATGACCTTTGTTTTTGCGTTCTATGTCACTCTGGAGTGAAAATGGTACTTGGAGCACCCATCCTGGCTGTGCGAGCAGGTTTGCATTTAAGTTTGAAGTTTCACACGGACCGTTGTCAAACTAGCGTGTTGTCTGCTTTTCCTGGCATCTCCTCCAAAAGTATGTGTCTTGTTTTGAGGGTGTTGGGGTTGATGTAAAAGGACGTTGGGGGTTCCCAAGAAGACACTGCTAAGGAAACTGCAGGTCGGATTATTCAAGGCTCAGACAAACAAAATCAAGAAGCCCTCCGAGTGAGTCCATTTCCCTGTGTGAGTGGCTCGTGTTTCTTGGATCGTACCCCAAAATGGGTGGTCGTCACAGGAAAGCAAACCGAAAGTCATCTGTGTAGGAGCTAAGCAAGGGACCCAGCCAAAGAACAACGGCTGGTTAACTGCTTGGGTGTTCGGCCAACGTTAGTAAGTTGTCGGTAGCATAGATGATATTCACCAGTAAGTCCCCTTAAGTGAAGATCACATTCTCATCAGCAGATTATCACCCGGGTGGCCAACCACTTACTAGCTTGGCGAATCGAACATCCAAGTATTAAAGGGGTGACTGGGATTCACTGGGCCTTCCTTTGGAACAGCGGCTCTTGCCATTGAGCAATTCCAGGACCGGGTACGAACTGGCAGCTACCAGCAGGCCATCCAGCACTCAGAGGCGATGTGTTGCTTGGAATCCGGCAACATCGAGAACGTGGCAGCTGTTTGTTTTGTTTTCTTTTGGGGATGGGCGAGAGGGCTGGCGGGAGGGGGTTGCGGCTTGGGCCTGGGTTGCCGAGTAAGAGGGGAAAGGGGGTTGCGGCTTCTTTTGGTCGGAGTGGTATTCTTGTTTCTGTTTTTTCTCGTATTTGACGAGGCATTGGCTGATTTGCATTGTATTGAAAGTTCTTTGGTGGATCTTGGTCGCCCTCTGATTTCCTCTCTGTGTGTTTGCGCCCACCAAAAAAGCAGAATCAGCCTCATCAATGGTTGCCTTTTGCTGACGGTCCAGAAGAAAGCTGGGTGGTTAGTAGCCCCCAGTCCGTCCTCGCTTGTGTAAACCCCCAGTGAACCTCCAAGTTAGCCTGTAAATTTGTGTGACGAGAGCTATCAACCATATCCCACTTGAGAAGGTGATGTGTTGCTTTTCTCCGTTGGTTTTAGATTTGGGTAGGCTTAGGAAATGAGCAAATGAACAACTGACAACCATGAGCAGGCTGTCTTATCAGGGTGCAAACAAGCAGGAAACAGGACCACATTGCCACAAAACGAGCCAAGCTGCTTTGGAGGTAGGCACCATCCAGTTATGTTTCCCTCTTCAAATGAAAATCCCAAATGTGTGGGTTTTAGATTGCTACTAGCTCACTATGCAGTGCCAATGTTTCCAAATGATACTTAGAGGCTTTGCCGGCTTCAGATCGAATTGGTGACAGCCGATGTGTGCTACATCATGGTGGCACCTTAAATGGAAGAACCCCCGGCTCAGTGCTTTCAGTACTGTAGAGCCGGCGAAGCCGGGGGGGCGGAAGTTTCAACAATGCAAGATTTGTTGTTTCATGTTTTTTCTCTTTCTCTCTCTCTCTCTCTCTTTCCTTCTCTTTTGCTCTCTCTTTTTCACACGATTTCTCTTTCCCTTTATCTTTCTCTTTCTTGCTTTCTTTTTTTCTTTCTTTCGTTCTTTCTTTCTTTATTTCTCTATTTCTCTCTCTCTCTCTCTCTTCATCTCTCTCTCCCTCCCTCTCTCCCTCCCTCCCTCCCTCCCTCCCTCCCTCCCTCCCTCCCTCTATCTCTTTCTCTCTCTCCCGTTGATTTTTGCTGTACGTATCCTGTAGACACCTTTAGACTTATGTGGGATTGATCTATTGGCACCACCATATGAGCCACAAGCAAAACCTGGGTAGATGAATCAAAGGTCAGTAAGGGATAGTCCGAAACATATATACTTGCGGCCCCCCGCCCTTGTAATTCTTTGCATGCTTCTGGGTAGACTTGTTTAATACCAGGTGTTGATGAGTCATAGAAGGGTGTACCCAAGCTGGGAGGTATACATAGGTTCCTTTTTTTTGTTTCTTTCCCTGGTCCGCTGGTCCAAAAGGATTCACTCCAGGACCGTTGCCGCTGTGATGTTCAGAAACGGAATCCCTTTTGCAGCCTCTAATCCGTTGTACGGGGTTCCTCTGACTAGTAGGGTCCACTGGACGAATCCGAAGTCAACCTGAAGAATCACCCAAATACCTACATGAGGATGATGATCGGAATCCTTGTAGAGGTTTTTTGTTCATGGTTGTTGTTGGGAAACATTTTTCTAACTTTTGCTTATTGTGGTTTAGTGGTTGAAATCCCCACTGAACTGCCAAAACTTAAATGTTTGCTCCCCTTCAACGTCAACCAAGTTTTGCAGCCTCTAAAGTTATGACAGTTCCTTGGGGTTGTATGAAAGTCGTCTGGACGGAAAGACGTTTGGGTCCTGCTTGTGTGGCAAAGATCCCCTTAGAATCAGCCAAGAGCCAAAAGGTGTTGAACCCAGATGAATAACCCCCCGGATTAATAGGCTATGAAGGATTCCCAACAGGGGGGACCCTCCAATTGATCAACCACCAGGGTTCTGCTTAGATCCGCAACAACACATTAGCCTGCTTTCCAGTTCCCAAACCACCCTATCAGATGCGAAAGGCGGTCTTTCGCGGCAAGACGGTGCTCGACGTGGGCGCAGGCACGCGACAAGGTACTTGTGTTTTCCCATGCCTAGAGTTGGCAGTGGTTCTGAAGTTGTTCAATGACCTGTTGGGCTCCCCTTCTCACTGCCTGAGTTCACGGACTTCATTTTTTTTTCGGATTGAGCCCTTTTTGGTGGTGAGCAACATGTTTGGACTTTGTCCGGCCAATCCCCTCACGAAATTAGTCTTTTTCCATGGCCCTACCGTTTTTACGTGTTGCCTTCTTCGTTTTCCATCATCCCGTTCGACAACCAACAAGTCTGTTTTCCCCAAAAAGGTGGTTTTCTATTAGGTGTCCCTTCAAAACGACGGACAAAAGGGGGCACCCTGTCGCATCAAAAAAGACACACCCAAGGATTTTGTTGCACGGATCCTTCTGGCGCAGTCCATGTGTCGTTGGGTTCGCAACGTGGTTAGGTCGGAAAAAGGGATTCGAACCCCTGGTTCTTGGTTGAAATGCGACGCTTCCCTCTAACTTCCAAACCACCACGCCAAAACCACCAATTTGGAATCTGATTCGGGGCAGCATAGCAAACAGAAAAAAGAAGCCGACCTTTTGACCTTTTTTTTTGTTTTGCTTTTCCCGCTAAAGGTTCCAAAAGGCGAACCCTTTAGTTTTGGGTCCTCTGGGCAAGTGAGGCAGAAGTTTGCCTCAGGTCAGTTGCTTCGCCAGGCACGGGGATCCTGTGCCTCTTCGCCGCCAGGCAGGGCGAAAAGCGCCGCTGCGCGTGTGGAGCTCACTGGTTCGACAGCCGGCGGCCGCCTTGTTGTTGGATTTGTTGCTTGGACCCCTTACCTTGATGTTCAACATGTTCAAGCGACTTATGGCAAGGTAACTGTGCTTAGTCCGGTTATAAATCCAACTAGTGGGGGCTAGAGCGAGTGCTCAGACATCCCTCTGAATGTGAACCCCCAGGTCAAGCAATGGTCACATGAAGATGTTGATCAGGTTTGAAGGTGGGGACAGTCTCAGCCGTGAATGGGTGGGATATCCGCCCTATTGAGTCTGTACATGGAACTGTTGAGCAGCTGTTCATGGTGACTTGGGGACAGTCACCGGTGTTTGGTTTTCACGAACTATTGCAGGGTCCTACGGCAGCGACTTCACCTCAATCACGCGAAGGGAGCTGTTTGTCAAACCTGCATTTTGGTGTGCGGCTCATTTATGGTCGATCATCTGAGCCCGGCACACCATGCTCCGGAAGGCAAATGGAGGCTGAACAGAGGCCCCGACAAAACAGGACACGTGCCGTTCAGATTTGTGACCGTGTTTTGACAAACATTTGGAGTCCCCTGTTGATTTTTCAAGAGCAACGATTACATATTTTGTGACGTCAGCTCCCATGCTTGTAGGGTCCAAAAGAACCAACGCTAATATATCCCTCGGGAAGACTGCTTCAAATTCGGGGCAAGGCGTTTTTGGAGACGCGCGCCTTTTGTTTCGGCCAGACTTTCACGTTCGATTCCCCTGTTCGAGGATTTTCCGGCGATTTTCCTCTATAGGGGTAGTTAAAGTCGCCATTGTCAGGGGTCCCTTCTTTCCAGACCGCGCAATTGGGGACATCTGATGGGGGATCACCCCCTCGACTTTCCGAACCTAAGTGTTGGATCCTGGACCCTTTTCCAATTTGGACCCTCCGGTGGGTTCCATGAGTGGTGGGTTCCATGTTAAGTGCGGGTGAATCAACCCTCCTACTCTGGATGGACGAAATCCTGCACCACCTAAGAAGTCCTGGAATGCTGAACCTTTTTTGGGGATGGTTTTTCTTGGGCTCATTCCAACTCATTTCTTGGGCTCATTCCAACTCGGTTTTGGGGATTCCCAATCGGATGGATGGTTTTTTTCCAAGGGGGTCATCCCATTTCTCATTCCCTGCATCTGTCGAAGCAGCAAGGTATTCCCTACGGTTCAGCCCCCATTAAAAGAATGGCCCAAGGGGACCCAATTTAGATGATGACAAACCTGAAGGGTAAACCATGGTGGTGAGTTATACCATGTCTGCCAGTAGTGCCCTTTTCCCCCTTTTTTTTGGGAGGAGGGTTTCCCTACTAAAGTAGACTACAGAAAACAGAATCGGTACCAACTTATTCTAACCTCTCTACCGTATGAACCCAACCATTGTCTTCACGGCTGAACCCAAAAGTTATCAGCGAGGCGCGGGTGATCGGTATCCCGCAGGGCCGGGGCCAAGCGCGTCATCGGCGTGGAGTGCTCCGAGATCGCCTCCTATGCCCCTCGGACCTTTGAGAGAGGCAAGTAGAAACATGTTACGCCCATGTTCCTTTCAGAATATGTTGGTCTTCCCTTGTTTTTTGCAGTTGTTGTTGTTTTTGTTTTAAGGGAACCTATCACTACTGGACATGGTTGTTTCCATTGGACCAAGCAAACAGACCCCTTTTGGGGGTTCCACGAAGAAAGTAACAGGGCAAGTAAAAAATATGGTTCTTACTTCCCGAGTTTCTGGACTTTATTCACTGTTTGAGGTTGGACCATTGTGGTGGCAAACAAAGGGTTTGGACCTTTTGTTGCCCATCCACTCAGGTGTTAGAGAAACCAACTACTTGTAGCCGGAAGACGGGAAAACCAGGGAGAAAAGCTTTTTGGCGGCCTGATCAAGACTACACTCTTGCTTCTTTCTGCCTTGTTATACCAGCACTTTGGTTTCTGCATTTATAGATTTGTCTCAAAATTGGTTTCAGCCGACAACAAGGATGGATTTGTTGTGGCATTCCCTTTGAACAACCCTAGACATTGAGCTTGTTCCAGCTTCTTTGAAGGAGTTGGCCATCGCCACAAAACCTCCGACGTGTCTGGCAGTTTTCTGCTTACAGGGTTTCATGTGTGACCTCAAGGTAGACTCAACGAAGGGTTGCCCCTTGGCAAATCAGCCGGATTGACGTCTACCTTGGTGTTAACCAAACCATACATATGGTGGTGAGCATGTCGCCGGAATCGTCACCTTGCGAATCCCTCAGTGGGCTGTGGGTCAAAACCAATGGTACCATTTTGGGGTAGGTGCACCACCCATTTTAGTCTATTTTAGTGGGGATTGGGATGTTCACTGCGACGGGCTTTTGACCCATGGCCAGTGGATCTTAGGCAACGAAGATTGCAGAGGAGAATGGTTTTGGGGATGTGATCACCTACATCCAGGGCAAGGCGTGGATGCGAAGCATGCAGTTCCCTCTCTAACCAGAAGGAGCCCAGCTGAACATGGGCCCCGAGCTGATTCGTACAGAAATCTCCTTTGAACCGCCTGTCCTTAAAGATATCCTTTTTGAAAACCCCTTGGAAGGGTTCCATGTGAATTTGCTGCGTAGCAAGCTGCCTTTTTCTGGGCAGTTGCTTCAGCGCTTGTTGCAAGTCAGTTGTCCGATTCAAAGTTTGGATCCACCGTCAATGGTTTGGAGTGGGGGTCCGAAAAATTGAAACCGTGCTTGATTAAAGCAAAGAAGAGACCACTTCCCAACCTTACACCACCATTTCAGGCCACCAATTCAGGAACATTTCAAGTTTGGGGGAATGCTTAGAGATGTTTCAAGGCACCTTGGCCCTGTTCCTTGTTCAAGTGACCTTTGTATCGCAGGGCGATGCTCTCGGGCTCGGATTCAGTCTTTTTGGAAAGCACCCTTGCACAGGAAGCCAGTTTGGGGTCATTCCCTTTGCTGAGAACCAGCAAGTCTCGATCCATTCTTCTGCCCATGTCGTGGGGTCAAGCGAGCGAACTCCACGCTGCGATCTCTTTGCCTCAGGTGGTTTGATTTTGGCTTCACTGTTGGCATGCGGTTAGGCGTTTAGGCTTTTCGCTTTGGTTCAATTTTTTAGTGGGGGGGGCTGCAACAAACACAGTTCTTTGCTACCATACCAAAGATTGTACAGTTAGAGTTTGCAGATTGCTTTGTTCTCACTTCCCTTGTGGGAAGGTCACAGTGGTATACAGAGTATCTGGACTTGTTCTGACCATTCTTGACCAGAAGTGAGCATTGGTTGCTGAAACATGAAGGCCTTACCTCCTTCTAGCCCACAGCTGGGGTAGACTCCGGAAACCAATCACATATGGTCGACACACGTACTGTAATGTGCAGTAGTGCTTTTGCTAGAGAAAGGACAAGTCTTAGCTCCAATCATGGCAACTTTCCGCAAGGGATCAAGGTTCGGATTCTGATCTTCTCGGAACAGGGCTTCCTCCATTTCCCTTGGAACCTCCAAAAGTGGCCAATTTCCAACCAGGCAATTGCAACCTTTGAAAGGGAAGTCCAGTGACCCCAGACGAAAACCCCGGTAGTTTCGGGGTTTTGGGAATGAGAACATCGGGATCCGTGAAAGGAATCCACCAATGGTTGAGCTTGTTTCCAATGAACATTCCCGGAACCTGAGAACCAGCCTAGGTTCTTTTTCTGCGTAGATGGCTCTACTACTCCTTCTGAGGTCTCAGATCTTCATAAACCCAGCAATTCCATTTACCTCATAGTAGGTAACCAAGGGAGCCACCGTTTAAATGTTTAAAACCTTCTCAGTAAAAGGGATCGACTGCTTCAAGTTTCACCAATATTGAAAAAGGAAAAAGCAGGTCACCATGAGCCAAAGAACCATTACTCAACCTCTCAAACCAGCTGATTTGTTCAGGGTCAGTCCCTCACTCATTCACTGAGCTGCGGGGGCCGCCGACGTTTCTTTTGTCAGGTGGAGGAGATAGAGCTGCCGGTGGACGAGGTGGACATCATCATCTCCGAATGGATGGGTTGCATGGATCGAGATCAGGAAAACAGAAAACGGATCGGGCGGAATCCTATGCTCCAATTCCCCCGCAAGATCATGGACCCTGGGATCTCTTGCGGCATGGAAGCCAGTCCAGTTGTCACAGGGAAGTCCAGTTCTGTCGGAAACCCCTGCGATGTGCGACAAAGGTTGAGCTCCGGAAAGCAGAGCGAGGCCCTCTGGTGCATAGCCCAGGCCAAAGGCACACGCGATCGGCGAATGATACCCAAGTCCGGTCCGAAGTTGAAATCGCTGACTCGGCAGATCCGCGAGGAACTCCGCACGGCATGAACTTGATCAGACAGTAATACTGGCTGAGAGTCAAGCACAAAGCGAGAGAGAGAGAGAGAGAAAAGCAGTGACAAAGCGTGGCGTGTTATGTATTACAGAGAGTGTTTCAGAGAGAACATGCAGGGAATCAGGGGTACTTCTGGTGAATATTGACTTGAACACGTGAGTGCAACTTCTCCCGTATTGCTGTTGTTGCAAGAAAACCCATGGTTTCAGCAATCTTCTTTACATGGACAGGGATGGCCAGAGCAGGCACGTTACCTCGGACTCATCCACGTTGTTTCTATGTTCATGGGGAGAACATAGAGTAATGCCTGATACTTTCCAAGCAGGAATGAAGGAACCCAACAAGCATCTTTTGGGATTTTCCTTGGAGCTTCGGGTACCGTGCTAAGCCCAGGTTATTTCCTTATCTTCGCAGCTCGGTCTGCACTATCTTGTTCCTGGGACTCGGGACTCGGGATTCGGGATGTTTTCCATGAGACCCAAAGATCAAAACGGTTGAGGCGACAACAGCAGCTGTCCCGGAAGCCGGAAAGCCCCTATTCTCAGGAAAACCAGTGGGTCCACATTGCTTTCCTTTCAGGATTGAGAACTACAAACAAAGTTCATGGAAACCAAACTCACGAAATACGAGTGTGTTCCAATTACAAATGGGCCGGTTGTTGGACGACCAGGTTATAACCTGGGCAGGAATTTCGCCAGTTAGCCTCTTCACTATATAACATGGAATTTACTGAGGGGTCCTGTAAGACGATTTTCCTGAAGGAACCCTCTGGTTTCCATGTTAGTGAACAGCAGGGTACCAAATTATTTTACTGGTCTGTTTGACCCAGATGCATTCGGACGAGACCACTGGACACTTGCAAGGCTGCAGGCAGGTCCTGGTCTCATTTCCTCAGACTCCCTCCGAGATGAAGTTTGGAGTAACGCCTGTTTTACGTGGTTTCAAAGATTCTAAAGGGACGCCAAACCGGAAACCCGACCCGATCCGATTACCGAAAAGAAAAAACGAAAAACGAGCCACCCATTCGCTTGGACCAATCTGCATTTTGGTTCACCTGCCACTAGCCACCAAGAAAGTGGGGCTGTGTGTACGTTATATACCACTTCCACAGCGTTCACCACGAAATACCGCCTCGACGATTTTTTTGGTCAGGCATGTCAAATTGCATTGGGTACAACTTTGGATAGTTTGACGGGCTACTCTCGAGGCAACGCAAAGGGACCACTGCTTTGAATGTGGTCGACAACACAAACAAATTGATGAAGGCTGGGCACGTGCCGATACGTGATTGTAGTTGACTTTTTCAGGAACATTAGGCATCACTGTGTTGCGACGCCACTTCAAGTTGAATGATCCATTCTTGGGTGTAGAAATTGTTTTCGGCTGGTGACTTTTGTTATTTTTGCCCAGACGTGAACCCTGGGGTTCAGTTACCACCAAAACTGACCAATGGCTGGGTTGATATTTCACCACCATCATCCAAATTGGGTCAGACCATTCTTTTCATGAGGGTTGAATGTCAGGGGGTTCTGTTTTCAGGTCCCAAACCTTTCCATGGAGGGAGGGGATGGCGGACAAAGGGGGCACGGAACCCTAGGGGTGAAGCGTGCTCACGGGGTCTGATGGCAAACAAATCGCAAGGAAGCCATGCTGGACAGCGTGCTGGTTGCTCGAGACAGGTGGCTTCGCCCAGGACGCCTGGCCAAAACTGATGCCGGTAGGCGGATGCGAATGTGTCTGAGGAAGGCGTAAAGGCTCGCTCTCCTTTTGGTTTCCTCATAAATCCAAACCCAAAAAGGGTATACCCCGAAAAAATGAAAAAAAAGAAAACAACTCACCATGTGAGGGTTGGTCGTGACTAACACTTGTCTGGGTGAATTGGTGTGTCAACCTGATATGTGAAATGAGTGTCGGAAGATTCGCAAGGAAGGAAAGGGCTGGGACAATTATAATCCTGGGGATAGAACGAGCTCACACATGAGGAAGGTTCCTGAAGGTCCTTGTTTCTGGGTTTGGAAATGGACATGTGTGAAGGAATGCTGTGAGCAAAACAACAAATAATGCCCTTATGTCAGTAGTGGAGAATTGTTAACATAAATCCAACACGGGAGGGATCATTTGAGGACCCTCCAGACCTATTTACCCTCTCTGCCACTGAAATGGCGAGGGACATGATTCCTCCAGTCACTTGGTTTGGCGCTTTTCCACATGCCTTCTGTTTGGAGGAAGGGTAGCACCTGTTGTTTTTTGTATGGTTCAACCCCATTAAAAGAATAGTTGACCCATTTTGGATGAGGACAATCCTTAGGTAAAGCATAGTTGTATGAACCCCCATTGCGTTAATGGTGGTAACTGAACCCCAGGGGTTTGTTTTAGACCTTGTTGATGACCTAAGACTCTAAGGTTTCCTCGTGGCATGCCCAAGCTCCAACAGTCGTCAAAAGGCCCCAGGGTACCGGGGGCGAGAAAGGTGGGACTGCACAGGAGGCGCGATGTTTCCAGACCGCGCCCGGCTGTTCATGGCTGGCATCGAGGATGCGGAGTACAAGGAAGACAAGCGACCTGGCATCTCACACTTTCACTTCGGGGCGGCCCAAAACACACCCCGGCCCACATGTACACTCCATCGTGTGAAAGTAGATAGCACCATCAGACTCCTGCACCACTGTTCAAAAAACCTAGAATGATTTGATTCCCCTGTAAATGCCAACACACGTTATGATTGAAAGTTTCATTTCGTGCGACGGAATTTATTCCGTTCATCCACAGTATGGTTGAGTCATCCTTTGTACTACCCAGAAGATTCTGCTCTCCAACTCACCCTGGTGGAGGAAAGGCCTTCTTTTTTGACCCCTTCGGTTTGACCCAAATAACCTGGCACATGACTGTACGACATATTACCCATGTAGAAACTCACTTCACATTGGCCCGGGAACAAATTTCAGAGTCCTCCGAGAAAACGCGAAAACATAAACTGGCCGATCCAATTATCAAAGTCCGAAACTGAGGCTGCTTCCCTTTGATTCAACCTACCACACTGGGGGATGAATTCGATCTAGGATGGTGTCCACTACCCCCATACCACGAGGAATTCGGGTCTATACCCTTGATATCATGGGTACGTCGTGGTTGCATATCCCGTTCAGGAGGTTGCTCTTAGCCTCGTGTTGTTTGCGAGGGTCCATGTTAGAATCCATGTTAGAATGCAGAGATATATTAGAACTAGCCGGAATCCAGGCACAACCAGTTGGTTGGTTTCGGTGTGCTTGAGGGGTTCCCTTTACACTCAAACCACCCCAAGCATCGGCAAAAACAATCACTCTCTGGAAGGTTTTGGACCGTGCAGTATTGCCTCCGAGTGCTGTTGCCTTTCCCGCGTTCGGGCGTGTAAGATTGTTGAGCGTGGGTGTCAAAATTTTATGGCACCCCACAATCATGGTTGTTGTTGGCAAACATTTACATTTCTGCTTATTGTGGTTTAGTGGGAACTCCCCACTTAACTGCTAAAATTTGAAGATTTTTGCTCCCCTTCCAACGTCAACCAAGTAATGGTCGGTGTCATGTTGGTTTCACTTGAGCCCAGCCAAACAGAAGGGTTCCCCCAAAAGAAACACCCGTGTAGGTTTCAAGGCCCATTGACCCGTCGAAGTTGTGTACCTTGGCGAGTCCAAGGCTTCCACCTGAGAATGTTGGTACCTCAAAAATGTCCCATAGGTGCCCAAATCCCTCTGACTGTCAAATGATGCTTAAGGCATGTGGAGTTGATCACACATTTGTTTGTTTTGTGTTCTGTAGCTGTTGTTTGTGGGGAAACACTTTCCACTGGAAGCCAATCTAATAAGGGTTGGGATGATACAAGGAAGCAAATGGCTCAAACAGAACAACCAACCACTATATACCCGTAAAGAGAGGAGACACGCCTGCCTTCAGAGAGACCTACAACAGAGAAAAGTGAATCAATCCAGTCACAAACCTTTTAAAACCATCTAGATTTGAAAATAGCACTGAATTGATGGCAATTTCCCAGTGGTGTGTAATATTGTTATCTCTCGCAACATTCCTAGGATCCACCTTCTCCTTGCTCTCGTTTCCTCCAACCAAGCCTCTCTAAGGCCTTGTTTGTGGGCTCTTGGATCATGGTCGTACCAGAACGAATCTTCCATAGAGGTGGAAAAACTGCTTTTGGCAGGTTTGGAATCTCCGAAAGCGCCAATTGAGATACCTCGACTGCTATTGGGTTGGATCTTTAGACTTAACTTTTTGGAAAATAATGCTGTTTTCCACTAAACCCCACAAAGTGAAAAACTTTTCGCAGGGGGGCCGTTGCAGCAACCAAGATACCAAGACCCTCGAATTGGGGTTATAGTTTATTGGGGTCATACTGTGGATGGACGAAATCCACTTCGCACCACTTGGAAACCATGGTTGAAACCATTGTTCGTTGGTATTTACAGGGGAATCATCATTCCATGGTTTCTTAGGTGGTGAAGGATTTCGTCCATCCACAGTAGCAAAGCCGTATATATTCTACCATGATAGTAGAGCCAAAAGACTTTTAGGAACCTCTCCAGTTGGATCGTAAGGCACGGCTCGTAAGGACGTAATGATTACCATCACAGGCGTTAGGGCTGACGGGGCTTCCGAGGATTTTCTAACCCCACTCAATGGTTAGGGTTGGCTGGATTATGTGTCCCTGTCAAAAGGCCAAGTTCACTTGGGAATCATGGATCCTTTGTAGGGTTTCTTCATAGCCAATCAATGCAAGGATTACCAGGGGTTCAATTTTGCATTAAAACAATGGGGGTTCATTTGTCCACAGTTGTTTACCTAAGGATTGTCATCAGCCGAGTTCGGCCAACCATTCCTTTAATGGGGGTTGAACACTAGGGGATTGCTAGAAAAACCAGTACCATTGGCCCATAGAAGTTTTGACAATGACACTCATTCAATACACCACACGAACCGGAGAACTCACTCATGTTCCGTGTCCTCTTGAAAAACACTTTGTAATTTTGACAGTGGGCAGGGAGGGGAGGGTTTTTTTCTCCTGCCATGAAGGAGTTTTGACCATGTCATGGTTGTTGTTGGGAAACATTTTTCATTTTGCTTATTGTGGTTTAGTGGTTAAAATCCAACCACTTAACTGCTAAAATTTGAAGATTGTTGCTCCCCAAGCCCAACGTCAACCATGTCTCACAAGTCCATATGACGCGTATCGCCTAGGTTGGGCTTTTGGAGCCACCACCGTGGCTTCGACTTGGGCCCCGTTGCGCAGCTGGCGCCTGGGACGAGTTTTTTCTCCTGCCATCGAAGCTTTGTGGCTCCCAGCCATCCGGCGCCTGAGGTTTTGAGTTGGCTCACTCGTTTTTGTTTCTTTTTCAGAAGTTAAGCTTTTAGCAAAAAACGGATCAGCTTGGACAGCCCAGAAAAATGGAAGACATGGCCGGACTGAGGGATCCTGGAAACCTATGTTCTGTAAACAAAACAACAAACACAAAAACAAAACCCGAAAAAAAAAGAAGAAAAACAATAAAAAAAAGAAAAACAACGTATTTTTTTTGGGTGCCAGTTTAGTGGACAGGAAGGGTTTTCAGCGATTTTGTGGGCCTATGGCCCATATGTTCCTAGTCTTTGTCATTGATGTTGTGCGGGCTCACTTGAACAACGAAACTCGGGTTGAAATAAACATGTCGCCAGAAAGTGTGGAGATCCGGCCTTTTTGGGTTTGGGTAGATCACTTCTTGTAGAGGGTAGATGGGAAACCACTCCCTAACCAGCAAATCCCCAATCGAAACCACCGAATAGCGCCATGCTGATGAGCGCCAGGTGTTGATTGTGAGGTTTTGATCAGTGCTCACTCGTGGGTAAATGGAGCCAACTACTCCCAGGCGGGAGTTTAGCACTGTGTGTGTGTGTGTGTTTTTGAACGGGTATCCTTCTTGGCCTTGTCTTTCTGAGGAAAACCACGAAACCGAAATCCGATTCCGATGTTTATTGTTTTGTTTTTTGTGCTTTTTTTTTGGGGGGGGGGGGGTCCGATTCCGATTTCGTAAGACACAAATGTGGACAGGATTCCAACTGCGGTAAAAGGCACCCATTTTGTCATGTTTTCCAGATCCTGGGGTTGACATAAGCAACGGACAAACGTTGCTTGTGTTTTTGTTGTTCCTTTGGAGAGGACATGGGGGGGCCTACCCAATATCCCCAATTGTCTCACCCTCCCGAATGAACCAACTGTAAGTCATATTGCTCTAAGGAAAATGCTTCCTCAGGGGGAATAGCTGCTTCTTGAAAAGGAAGGATGATGGTTGAAAATAATGGTTGGAAGCAACCCCTAGAATTGTCCATGGCTCTTTAGAGGCCTCATTTTGTTGACCCCCAGAGGCGCCCGGGCGGGATATAAACCTTGGAAACTTAGGCATTGGACATCTTTTGGGTGTTGTTAACCCGGATTTTGCTTTGTAAACCCCGGGGTCAACAAAGCATTGATCTGTTTACAGTTACTGCAGTCGGTTTCTCTTGCAAGGCCATAAACCCCGCAGTCAACATGAAGTTAGCGGTTTAGAGGGTTGGGTGTCCACTTAACCCACAAGTTCAAACTGTTAGCGGAACAATCAAACGACAGCCCAGTGGAGTATGTTCCCCAAGTTGCCACTATTTCCAAGTGCACATGGTTCACAAAATGAGCGACTCCGAGAGTCCGTAGGCCTTGCAAGAGCCGATCTCCGACATCGTAGATGCTTCCGCGTTGGTCACCGAGAGCAACTGCGCCCAGCCCTCGGAAACGCTGCGCATGGCCGAACATGTCTGAGGTCCTTGAGTCAGTTTTTGTTGAACAAACACCATCATGAACCAAATCCTGCGCCACCTAAAACTGATGGGATGATGTTCCCTTGTACATACCAACAAACAATGGTTTCAACCATGGTTACCAAGTGGTGCGAAGTGGATTTCATCCACCCATAGCAAGCAACCAGTTTACCCCCTACTCAAAACTCCCCACGGTTTGCTCTTTGGGTGGAGAAAATGGAAGGCCCTGGCCACCTGGGCGAATTGTTTGAGGACTGACGGAGCCAGTCCTCCCATGTTCAGTCGTCGACCCTCCAATGGATGGCCAGGTCTTTCAGATGGATCTCACCAAAGTGAGAAGCAGCTCGGAAGTCAGATAGATCAGTTGGGCAGGGTTGGATGATTTTTATTTGTTTTTTTTTTTTTTTTTATGCAATGGTTTCGATTGGTGGTTTGGGATGTGAACCTCTGGTTCTTGTAGGGGGTATGGGAACCCACCCCAACCACTACAAATCCAAACCACCAGTCAGAGGGGAGCTGATATATTAAAAAGAAGAAGAGGGGAACTGCATCATGACCCTGTAGGCAATTCACGGGGGGGCGTCGGCTCGCAGAGGTGCTTCGGTACATTGTGTTTGTCCCTCTCAAGCCTGGCATGACACTAGAGTTGCAGATGGCGTTGAAGCTTTCATGCTTTGCAGTGCTTGAGTCTACACGAGGAAGAGTGGCAACCTGATAGCCATGATATGTGCATCGCTGGGCGTTAGCCGGTAAGCTATCCCTCAGAAAGTCCGACCTTTTTTTTTTGGGCAATACAGAACTGCCTCCATCCACGTAGGCTCTACGTTTTTTTGCTAAATCATAGGCTCTGAAACCAGATGGAGCAGGAACTGGGCAATTGATTTTCCCTGATTTTCTCGTACCTGTTTTTTTCAACACAGACTCTAGGCTCTACGTCCTTCTTCGCGTGCGCAAAGCTCCATAGGATTGAAGCGGATCGACCGACAGGTCGCTGTCGGTTTTGAGCGAGCCGTGGAGGTTCAGCTTTTGGATCTCGGGCTACCCCCAGATTGATCAACCGCAGTTTATTAATGGGGTGTTCCCCTCGAGTGATAATTCCCTACCAAATCCAGGGAACCTCTATGAATAAACTAGGGTTGATTATGGGGTCAACATTAGCAACACCCAAATTGCAGTGTACCGTTCCAAGCTCTCGTGGCTACTTGGCTTCCGAAAAGCTCAGCCGCTCAATTGATCCATCCTTTTCTACTTTGGGCTACTTGGCTCTTCGATTCGCCAAGTTAGTCAGCGGTTAGCCACCTTTCACCGAGTGCCAGGCTCAACTCCGCTTAGGGGCACCTACAAGCGGCTTGCAACCCAAAATGCCAACACCTTACCTCCACTTGCATTTCAGAATATGTGTAACTTTCCCTGATTTTCCAGGGACTCTATCACTTCTGGAACTTCTTTTTTTTTCAGGGGGCGCAAAAAACAAATGGACGCCACGCACATCGAGACTCGATCCGAGGCGGGGATTTGGACTTTGCGGCGCCGGGAACTTGGAAGCTGCTCACACGACTCGTCGGTGGGCTCGCTCGATTTTGGCGCGGGCGTGTCCCCCTCTGTTTTTTTACGGGGGGTTGTTTTCTTTAGGCTTCCCTTCAAAAACACCAGCAGAAGGTATTTTAGCAAAGACACTCTAATATGTATCATATACATGTATGCACACACACACACGCACGCACGCACGCACGCACGCAAGCAAGCAAGCAAGCAAACAAACAAACAAACAAATGGACCGACACGCAGGCAGGCAGGCAGGCAGGCAGGCAGACAGGCAGGCAGGCAGGCAGGCAGGCAGGCAGGCAGGCAGGCAGGCAGGCAGGCAGGCAGGCAGGCAGGCAGGCAGGCAGGCAGGCAGGCAGGCAGGCAGGCAGGCAGGCAAAAGAGACACTGTTTTTTTTGGTATCATATACATGTATGCACACACACACACACAGCAACACTGGGTAGACCCCGCTGAAAACAGAGTGCTCCATAAACCCACATGGCCACTGGTGTGTGTGTGTATAATATATATATATATATATACATACATGTGCATATGTATATATATATATATGTGTGTATGTGTATGTATGTTGTACACACTCTGCTATCTACGATAGCAGGGTACTTTTTCATGAGCCAATTGATGCACCGCATGCCTATGCAGGGTCCATACAACTATGGGCTTTTAGTTGGGTAGGTCCGAGTGTGGGCTAAATGTAGAGGTAACATAAGGTGTTCTATTCGCAAGCCTATTAAAGCGTTACTAATTTTGTCTAGCTTCTTGCCGTGGGCCCCAACAGTGGGTTTTATTGTATCTTGGTTGTTGTTGGGAAACATTTTACATTTTTGCTCATTGTGGTTTAGTGGGAACTCCCCACTTAACTGCTAAACATTGAAGATTTTTGCTCCCTTTCCAACGTCAACCAAGGTATGGTCTCGTGATGCATCAGTCAGATCAAAACAGCCTTCAACTTTGGTCGAACTGCTTTCAGGCCCGCCGGTTATGTTTCCCAAGGATTCTCTTTTCGGGCCCAACCTTTGCGACGCGACCTGGCTATGTTTCCAAAGATGCCGAGACATGTGCTCCTCGTTCCTTTTTTGGAGGGGGGTGTCCCTTTGAACTCAAGAAATGATGTTCGAAAGTAACACCTGCTTTCGGCAATACTACCTGTTGTTTCTCTCTTTTTTTACAAGGTGAATCGCGGGTTCAACCGATCCTGTTCCGCCCAAGCCAATAAATCCCAAGCCACTGGCGGGTACCCTTTTTAATCAAGTGACCCTCTTTTTGTGGGTTTTAAACAGGGCTTAAAAGATACATGTTGCCCATTTGAAACATGGTTTTTACACCAAAATAAAGGGAAACCACCATTTACAAGTCAACGTTCAGGTGTATAATCTAAGGATCCCTGTTAAAGGGAGGCCAAAGGGAAAACCACCAATTCGAGGGGGTCCCCTGAAAAGACACACCCATGTCTCTTCCCGCCGGGTCCGTGCCTTTTGTTGTTTCTCTTTCCTGAGGCCGTTTTCCCTCCGCGTTCAGCGCCAAGACTTCGTCCACGCCTTCGCCTCTTTGGCTGAGTGGGCCGTTCTGTTTTTGGGAAGACCAATTGACTCGCAAGCAACAAGTTTCTTATGAAGGTGTTGTAAATTTATGCTCCCTTTGTTTGGTTCTGGTGGGTGGTTTCGAGGGGATCTCCAACAGCTATAGGTTGTTCAAAGCCACCTATGAACCCTTCCAGATGGTAGTGGCTTCCCTACAGTTATCCAACTATGGATTAGGGTTCCCAGGCGGAACGGCCCAGAAAAAGCAGCAGGCAGAGTGCAAGCGAGTTGGGAGCACTTGGGGCAGGGTAATGGATATGTGGGGAATTGATCAAAAGGTCCTTTACATGGATTGGGGAAACCGCGAAGAAAAAGATGATCTTTCGCACTAAACGGGAGAAGTGAGCCATGGTCATTTGGGGGCCAAAGAAATTATGGTTACTTTTCGCCGCTTTGGTGGCTTGCAAACAGGATAAGTGGGTTATCGTGGCTAAGTTGCAGCCCACCAGGCGAATCCCCTTGTCCGAAACATCCGGGCTTCAGGTTTTTGCCTCCCCAAAATTAGCTCCGCTTTTTTTTGGGGGGGTCCCTTTGTTTTCCACTACCCAGGCAAAAAAGAGACATATATATATATATATGCTGGGATCCCAATTCCAGCCCAGTTATCGAGACCTTAGGATGGATTACGGGAGAGGGCTCGACCTTGGATGGTTTGAGACCTCGTTCTCAGGACGCCTCCAACTTTCCTTCAAGCGGTCTGGTTCATCAGCGCTCCTTAAAAGATCTCCATTTTGCAACCACTTGAAACATGTTGCTTTTTCAACACCAAGATAAAGGGAAACCACCATTTACAAGACAATGTTCAGGTGTATAGTGTAAGGATCCCTGTTCATTCCCAACCCCCACTGAATTCCATATCGGACCAGGAGGCCCAGGCATTCTGAATCTCCGCCTGTCTAAAATGTGCTAGATCTCAGCAGGGAATGCGGGAATGACCGCAATAAACTATTTTTGTGGTTTCCTGTGAGGGAATCCCTGCATCATTCCCTACTGAGCACCAGCAAGCAAAGGCTTTAAGCCAAAGGCCGCGACCTTCGTCCCTTAGATAAAGTGTTTCAATGCGGGTTCCAGATGAGCGGTGGTTCTTCGCTGTTTTTCTCGGGATTAGGTTTGAAGTAGGTCTCAAAGGGAAAACCACCGACTTTGGAGGGTCGAAGGGGGGACCCGTCGACGAGCCATAGGTCGTGTGGTTCGACGTCAGCTTTCACGCCTCAACCGGCGTGTTGGGCCCAGCGCGGGAGCACCGCATCGCACCACCTACCCTACCAACAAACAACGGTCGTCTTGGGCGCAGGATTTCGTCCTTCTAGAGAACGGGATTTTTTAAGGGGCTGAAAACAACAACCTGGCGGGGACCGCAGAATACATGTCACTCTTTAAGGGGCTAAAACATTACACATTGCTCTCTCACAATGTTTGGTACAGCCCCCTAAAACCCCATCTGCTTTTAGGCCCAACAGCAGGAGATATTGTTTAGACATTTCTCCGCTTGGTGTATGAAACAACGAGGTGTGCCCGTTTGGCCGTTGCATCGACTTGGATGACCCAGCTACAATGGTTCGACGATCTTCGGGGGGTGGCGCATGGGTCTTACTTCCAAGGGACTTCAGCTGTGCCCGGCCTCCGCGTCAAATTCCGTCAGAGTCAGATGCGCTTCTTGAAACGATGCACGAGGCATGTCAAAGACTTGTTTGCTATGTAGATTGTCTTGCAGGGCCCAGCTTCAATCATGAAATTGCGCTCCGTTCATACAAAGAATGAACTAAACTCTCGGTTTCAATACACCTCTTGTTTGCTCTTTTGTTTCCCGCTTAAAGTGTTCAACAAACTCCTGGTTTCCGAAGATGTCGGGTTTTTTCAAGCTGTTTCCATTAGTAAACCTTACTTGACAGTTCTGGCCGATTGCCCCTGGTCCCGCGTAAATGGGGCAGCCAAGCACCATTCCAATCGATTCGGGGGAAGCTGCCGGTACCCAACTTGCCTGCGTTTTCAATGTGGTAGACTTAGGATACATTCTACATATTAACAGCGACTCCATGTGAAGCAAATAACAAATAAACATTCTATAGCTGGGCCCTCCAGTCATGGTCCCAAATCCCCTTGGTACGGCTGTCACCGGCTGTCCAAGAAGCAAGTGCTTGCCTTTGGGCCCGGGTGATTGCTTTGTTCAGATCCTGGCCGAAATCACCAGCCACCAATTACTGAGTTGCAAGCGAAGCGAATGGACCAAATCTGAATTGGGTTCCCATCTTTAGTCACCCAAAAAAACTTCCCCAGAATTAGCTCCGTGTTTTTTGTTGTTTTGCTTTTTTGGGGTCCCTTTGTTTTCCACTATCCAGGAGATATGTTTTTTTGCTGTCCGATTTTTCCAGCCTGGAAAAGGTGCTCACGATTTGTTATTTATTTCTTGGTCCCAACCCATTGGTTGTAGTCCATTGCACAGAAACTCAACCAGCCAGTCGATTCGCAGGTAAACCAGGGCCGAACTGTTTGTTTTTTTGTTTTTTTTTTTTAAACCAAACCAATGAACAGTTGGACAGCTATGCTTGACTGCTCTTGGGTTGTATCTTTAAACTTTGCCTTTTTGGGAAATCAAGGCGGTTCCCACTAAGCCCACCAAAAGTTAAGCTTCTTGCAGAGGGGTCAACAGCAACCAAGTATGGGGTTCACAAACATTCGAAGGAACACTTCCTTGGTCTCAGCTTCGTTCGTATTTTTTTGGCCCAAAACGCTTCCCTGAGGGCACGGTGCTCACCACGGCCCCGGGCATGCCGGACACCCACTGGAAACAGACGGCCTGGGACTTGACTCTCATTTTCGCGCTGGCTCGCGGAAGCCGGGGGGCTGGAGCCATGTCCTCAAAAGCTGGCCCCAGTGCGTCCAAGCCGCTTCAAGCTAGGTCCCCCAGTAGTGCGTGTTTACCAACTTTTTTGGAGGAGGGTTCTCCTACGAAAACAGACTACAGAAAAAATGGGTATCCTCTTTCTAACCTCGCTACTGGAGGACCTAGACTAGGTACCGAATTCACCCACCCGCCGCCCAAAGGAAAGCGAATTCACCCACCAGAATTTGAGGTGGCAATCACCCATGCGGGTAGTTTGAGGGTCCAGGCAACCAGATATACGTGGTGGTTTCTGCTAGTTTCCCTTTTATAGTGGTAGCTGGCAGCACCGGGAGCTCTTTGGTTAATGAGCAGGAGTTGGTGATATATGTTTTGAGGTGTCCGTGCCCCGCGAAGACGAATTCCCCCCTGAAGACGAACTCCCCCCCGAAGACGAACTCCCCCCCGAAGACGAAGTCCCGCCCACCCAAGGTGTCCGTCTAGGTCACCAAAGCAAAAAAGAAGAAGCCGCCGGAAGTGGGAGCTGAAAGCCAGAGGGATACGTAGTCCCGGATGCGGATCTCCGCCCTATGGTTTGTTTTCTTTTGATTCGCCAGGGCTTCACTATGAAAAGGTGGACATTTGGTTTACCACGCAAATGAGATCTAGGCACATAAAGAGATCCTCCGGCCCGGGATTTGGACCTGGTCTCTTTGTTTCATGGATGACATGTGTTTAACGTTGGGGGTTCAACAAAGCCAGTGGTCCCCCAAGTTTCGTTTCTGCCACATTTGATTGCCGCTCTGAACCTATCCTTTCAATTCCTGGCTTGTAGGTTACCATGTTCTTTTATACCAATGGAAGCCGTTTGAAAGTAAAAACAAATGTCAGGGGCAAGGCCTACTTTGACATCGGAGAATGCATTTCAGAAAAAATGCTCAGAGTCGCGGAAGAGTGGAAGGCATTCTGCTCGTTCCTCGTTATTTTTGTCCCTGGCCTTTTCTTTGACTTTGACTGACCGATATTCCTTCCTTTGCAGCTGCTGTTTTCTTGAACTTCTTGTGTAATTCTCATCCCCGCTTCCTGCCGGCATCAGAAGGTATAGGCATTCTGCTCGGCGATCTGTGCGAATTCGGTGCACCCCTTCCTGCCATGGCGAAACGACAGCTCACGGTGCGTCTGCCCTCTGGCTCGCTCCTCGTGGAGCTGGCGGTGCACGCAGACACCTTGGTGTCGCAGCTGAAGCAGCGCATAGAGGAGGCAGCGGAGCTGCCTGCAGGGCGCGTAGTGCGCTGGCTCGTCTCAGGCACAACCCAACTTGGTGATGAGGAGTCCCTGCCCTCGGATGGAGAGTTGCTTCCCTGTTCTGGGCATGTGTTTAGCTTTTTTGGGTTCTTTTAATTTTCCTAGGGGGCCACAACAAGCAATCAATGTTTGCAAGGCTTGTTTGGGTTCTTTGGTTCTTTTCACATTCAGGCGGGGGGGCTGCAAAATGCAGTCAGGTTCATGGAAGCCCGCACCAAGCGCTTGGTTCATTTCTCGTCGGCCAACAACAATCAGCCAGTTTTTGTTCAAGCCCATTTTAAGGGGGCAAAAAATGCAGTCATCTTTTTTCAAGCCCATCCCAAGGGGGCAAACAATATGCAGTCATCTTTGTTCAAGCCCATCCCAAGGGGCAAAAAATGCGGTCATCTTTTTTCAAGCCCATCCCAAGGGGGCAAAGAATATGCAGTCATCTTTGTTCAAGCCCATCCCAAGGGGCAAAAAATGCGGTCATCTTTTTTCAAGCCCATCCCAAGGGGGCAAAAAATATGCAGTCATCTTTGTTCAAGCCCATCCCAAGGGGCAAAAAATGCGGTCATCTTTTTTCAAGCCCATCCCAAGGGGGCAAACCATATGCGGTCATCTTTTTTCAAGCCCATATCCGTTGTCAAGGTTGGTGGCCATTTGCGGAGATGTGCTGGTGGGTGATTTCGAGACCTACAAACCCGGCTGCCCGTCCTGTGACTGGAACTCGGAGCTGCAGACGGCGCGCTTCTTTGCGGACGGCACGGCCTTGATCCACTGCCGAATCCGCGACGAAGGCAAGAAGTTCCGGTACCGCCTGGGAGGCGTACAGGAAAACATGCGGGAGCTGGAGCTCGAACCGGAAAATGCGCCGCGGCGGGACGAAGCAAGTACCAATTTGTTCCACCTTTTGTGTTGTTTTTTGTTGTTGGCTTTCATCGTTTTACCTGTGAACCATCAAACAGTTTAAGCTTCTTGCAGGGTCTAAGTCGAGGAGTCAGATGAAGCCTACGCAGGCACCTTGCAGGTGAGTAGTGCGAATCCTGTCTATCGTCGAGTGCAGATCCCTGAGCTGAATATCGACGTGGAGGACATTCGGTACCTGAAGCAGGTAGGTCAGACCGCCCTTGAGCAGAGGCTGGCTTTATTGTTCCCCCAAGCTTGGCCCCAATTCCACGAAAAGGATGAGCCTCAACAGCTTCAATGGCTCAGCACTGTAAACCCTTCCTTCATCCCTTCTGATGAGCACCAGCTACGAAAGGCCATTGACAGGGCATGGGTCAATTGGCAGTGGCAGAACCAGGAGCAGTTGCAGTGCATGCTGGAGGAGCACGTGCTGTCGATTGAAGAGCTGTACGATTTCACTCTCAACCAGACTGCCAAGACTGCCAAGACTGCGACTGCCAAACAGTCCCAGAAGCAGACCCAACACAAGCAGAAGGCGGTGAAGATGCGCAAGGGCAAGCTCTTGCGTTGGGCGAGGCCGAAGATGATGCCAGCTGTCTGGCTGGAAGCACATTGATTCTGACCACGTTTTCTGTTCCAGGCATGCTGCATGTGTTTAGACTCCAACGTTGGCATTGTTGGGCGTGTAAGATTCGTTTGGATGCGGTGTACAGTGTACAGATGGGCTCCACATTGGATCAGCAGCAGGAGACCTCTTTGACCGCGGATATGGCTGCGGGCATTCAGATGATTCATGGCTTACATTGCTTAGTGCGTGTGAGTGTGTGTTTGTGTGTGCAGAGTCAATTTGCAGTGTGGCTGTTTGTTGTTGTGCTGTATCAGCCGTTTATTGAATTATATGTGTTGTTCTCTATGCAGGTGTTGTGTGTTCAGTAGATGAAGATTAATGCGTATGCGTGGTACATGGTGCTCTCTAAAAAAAGAGAAAAAAAATATGAATCACTGCTTAATCCAGTCTGTTGTTGCGTTTGTGTGGTGATTCATCTCTGTCAGCTCAGGCGTTGGCGCGATCAACAGTTGCGCGGACAGGTTAATGATCTGCGGATGCAACCTCCTTGCAACGGGGCTTCCAGTTTAGATGCTGGAGTTACAACTTAGGATTGGTCACAGCTCCAGTACATTAGTTTTGCACGCTGTGTGTTGATCATGTTCTTGTTGTTTGCCCATGCACTTCCTACGAACATAGAAGTATGGGCTGCCTTTTGAAACATGATGTTTCGTTTGGGCTTCCGCCAGTGCTCGCCATGTTTGCTTGAAAATTCAAAGCAGGGGGGTTAGGTGGGGGGTTGTTGTTTGCTTCCCTTCCAAGGATTATCAACTTCCCACGGTGCAAGATTCGTTGGAAGCCAGGGTTGTGGGATCACTCGGGGTTTTTCCCCACTGTGATACTTTTGGGAATCCCCCCTTTATATTGAAGAAAATATCGTCTTTGGGGTTAGGCCCTTTTGTATCACAGATTCGTGGATTCCATTCCAACCACAGGCCTGGAAACACAAAGCAGCTTTGGGATCGATCCAACCCGCAAAGGCCCCCGATTCGACGCGAAACCATTCCAAGCGGCGCGGCGCGGCTTCCGAGAACCCGCCAGGTCCTGTACCTCGAGGAGTGGGGGGTCTCAGCGGCAAAAGCCGTGGCTCAGTGCGTGATGCAAAGCGAAAGCCAGTTCTTGGAGCAGCGTGCACGAGTGCCTGCCATGTACAACTCCACTTGCAAACAGCTCTAGTCATGTTGAAACATTCAGCGCACGCTTGCAAAAAGAATCGACTGGAACCTGGCTACATTGTTACATCATTGCACTTCTGGCATCCGCGAGATCTGATCTGTTGGTTGTCCAGTGCTCATTGGTTCTCCCGTGGACTTGCGAACCAGAAGCAGAAACTTGCCAAGTTGTATTTGGGGGGTGTCTTTTTTTGGGGAGCCCCCCCCCAAAAAAAAACAATCAGGAAGGAGGCATTCCTGCATTCCTTCTGGTTTCCATCTAAAACCCCAACACAAAGCCTCAAACAAGACTCACACTTGTGTTATGAGTCCCACAGACTTGCGGCCGGAAGTGGCAGGTTTCAAGTGGCATCGACTTGGGAGACTTGGGATTTTGTGTCTTTTGGTCTATTTATCACACTCACATGGTTGTTGTTGGGACACATTTTACATTTTTGATTCTTGTGGTTTAGTGGAAAATCCCCACTTAACTGCTAAAATTTAAATTTCTGCTCCCCTTCCAACCTCAACCGAGCTCACCTGCCCAAACAAACTCGAGCTTTTCACCTAGTCTAGTCCCCCAAAATTGGGTAAACTCTGCAGTGAGGTCACTCGCAGTTGATCTGCTCCAGCCCGCCGCACATTGTTTGGTACGTAGCTTGGATGTTCAACCTTGAAAACTACAGGCTACCAGGATTTTAGTTGACAACGGGGGTGTTTGACTTATAGCCTTGATTCCTAGTTGCCTGACATAGTAGGTGACATATCCAAGTACCTTGTTTCTCACACATCAAAAGCTCGGAAGAGACTTAGGCCGCTAGTGGTCTATGAGAACGACAAGATTTCGGGCAGGCACTGTCTGGGCATGTGGTTCTGTGGCAATCTTCCGATGGCTGCTGAGCGCATTTTGTTGGCTGAAGATGATGTGGGCGTGCTCTCATCAAGCATCCAAAACTCTATTGGGTGTTTCTCACTCAAATTGGGGACGGTGGTTTCCTTTTGGTTTCCCTTTGAATCCCATCTCAAAGGAAGCCCAAAGTTTGGCTTTTCTCCAGACTCGCTGGCTGTGTTCTTACGGAAACACCCTACAACCAAGTACGTGGAGGAACCTGGGGTTCACCCAAAAGGGGTCATGTTTGTTGCTGGTGGGGTAAGGCGTTCTTTGCTTTTAGGTTTGGAAGGGACTTGCGCATGGCCGGCTCATTCGCACCCGGAAGACGGGACACTTGCAGCTTGCTTTATCGGGTCGTAAATTACGAGGAGGCTTTCGTGGATTGCTGACAGAAGTGGGGTTCGTTCTCTTTTCCCGGGCCGAATGGCATCGAAATAGGAAACCAACGACCTGGGGGAGTGCCTGAGTTTGAGAAACACCCATGTGTGAGGTGCTCACAAGGTCCGCTTGCTCATGGCACCCTTGAGAAAGCCACAAGGCGTAACTTTCACGTGGGAGTGGCAACCGTGGTTGTCTGGGGGGACTTCAAGCCTATGCACATATATGGTTTTCACCCGTGCTCTGTCGGGGAATCCAACCAGACGAATCGAAGCCATTTGAGCCACACTCAAAACCCGGGTACATGACGGTTAGTAAGGGACGATCCCAGCCATAAATAGCTGCCGCCTTCTTAGTTCTTTGCATGGTTCTGGGTCGACCATTTTTGTACCAGGTTTTGATTGTGACTCATTTCGGGGCGGTTTCTCCGCGCGCCAGGTTGGCCGTTCGCAAGAACGCCACCAACCCCCGTGACCTGGACGTGAAGATCGCGTACCAGCCGCATCCTCGGAGTGAAAAATAAGCGCGGGGGGGTTGGGGTGGGAGGAAGCCGCTGCCCGACTGAAAGTCTAATGTTGACCCCATAGTGTTGGACCTCCTTTATGATTAGTACTCTCTATTGTTGAATGTTTTTTCTAATTTAGAATCCTGTGACTGTTTTAGGGGTTCTCTATTGTGGAAAGTTGTTTGCCGGAAACAACGCTGGGAAAAATATGGGCAAACAACTGGCAAACAAGTCGGGCAAGAAAACAGGCAACCAAATCCTGGCCAACATTGGAAAATTGTTTTCTTGAAGTGGTCCCCAAACCATCAAATCTAAGATATCTTCTTTACAAAAAAGTGCGGGCAAACAGTCACACAAAAGGGGGGTGCCCACAAGAGGCCCAGATCCTCTTTAATGCGATTGCTTTGGGGTCCTCTTTAGTGTCCAGCTGGTTTTGGGGTTGCTGAAAAAACGACCCTTGGCAATACTAAAGTAGAATTGGCAATACTAAAGTAAGTACTGGGGATCTGAGAGTCAGCCTTGGCAATACTAAAGTAGAATTGGCAATACTACAGTAAGTACTGGGGATCTGAGAGTCGGCTTTGGCAATACTAAAGTAGAATTGGCAATACTAACGTAAGTACTGCCCCTCCCGGACCTGCAGGATCTCACTAAAGAGAGTCCCGCCGATTGGTTCCACTGTTCCAGGGGCGGGGGGGTCACACGAAAGAGAGTCCAACATTAATGAATTTCAACCCACCGATTTAACGCGGGTGCTTCTCCCTGGGTGAAATGTGGGGAATCAGACCACTTTTGGAGGGTCCCCCACCCTCTCAACAGGGGTTGATTCATCCGGCAACATTCACTCCGCGAGTTCCTGGACTGCCGCTGTTTGGAAAGACCGTTCTAGTGGCAACCAACAAGTTTTTTTTGGCTTTTTTGTTGTCAACCTACTCGGGTGCGAAGTGGTTGCATGTTGGACGGGTTCTCGAGCTAGGCTTTGGGAAATCTCTTGAGGGGTTGGTTCTCCTTCACATGCCATAAAGACGTCGCCTCTGTTGAAACAGACCCATACAAACTAGCACGAAGGATTTGGGACTTCTGTGATAGCCGTTTAGCTGCGGTACTCCGCGGCCACAATTCCTAGTCCATGTGCCAGGGGGAAATGATTGGGCCGAGAGACCGCATCTTGCAAAGTTTGCGCGGAGGTTGCAGGGCCAACGACCGCAGCCGGAGAGGGTTCAAGGTTACCTCGTGAGGCCCGGATTCGAATCGGGAGGGCGATTTGTGGGTTTTCGAAACTATGGCCGTGCCGCGTGTCGGGGATTTGCAAGGGCGCCTTGACAACCCCCCACTTGCATAGGTGTCCTTTTTGGTTGATTTGGTTGAAAAACAGAGGGCCTGGTGTACCTGGTGGTTCAATCAACTACCAGGCCCATCTATTTTCCAAAAAAGGCCACCTATGCCCACTTGGATCAGCTGAAGGCTACGGTATTACGATTTGAATGGTTAGAACCGCGAGACCCCACTGGCATGAGATAAAAGTGATTTAAATCGCGGCTGCATCCGATTTTCGCTTTCGATCGATTTTTTGGAAGGATTGCCTAAGAGGCGGAACCTCTAGATGTCAGTCTCTTGGTAACCAAAAACCAATCCCTGAAAGGTTCGCTTTTGAACCATTTGATCAGCTTTTCTTCGAGACGTTCCTTTCAGACCCATTGCGTGGGTTTCCCCACATCAAACTGGCTTGCGGTCGGAAGCACAGCACAAGGATCATTGTTTCTTTGGAAGGCCCTACCACTCGCTTTAGGCATGTCTAGAGTCGCTGAAGGTCCTTACTTGGCTGCCTCCCTTTGGTTACTAGGTCCCCCAGCTAGGTGCCCTTTTACCCTTTTTGGGGGGAGGGTTCCCCTACTAAAATAGACTACAGAAGAAAGGGTACCCGTATTTTAACCTCTCTACTGGAGGACCTAGGTTATACATGGAATTGCCAGTAAAATTGAGTGGAGTATCTAACAGCATGTCCATCCAACAGGCGGCCGAGTTGGGATGCATGATTCCGGTTTGTGAATTACATTCCATTGCCGGACTCCAGGATATCCTTGGACAAGACACAGTCAAGACAAAACCCCATCAACTCAGGGCTCTTGGTTCAAGGAAGTGGTTACAGGTTCTGCTTTGCGTTCGGATGAAAGGGGCAAGAGGAAGAACCCAAAGAACCAGGGCAGTTAGTCCAGGGCTATGCAAAAAACAGTGATAATACCAACGATCAGGTGATGTTCCGTCCACGTTTTGTTTGACCGCCTTTTGGTGGGCGCGACCCAGATCAGCAGAGAGATTCGACGGGAACCTACGTAATACATGTTTGTTTTCGGGTCAGGTTTCCGAGCCTTTCAGAAGCTTCTTAAGGCCAGGGCCCTTTACTTGAGGCTTCCGCTCCTGGTTGTTTCCACTCCTGGGTGCTTGGGGGTGTACCTAGGACCCCCAATTGTGTGTAAAATAGGTGCTTGTTCGGAAACAACGGCTTTTTTCTTCTTCTTCTTTTTTCTGCGAGCGCTTTTCAAAAACTTGCGAGCTTCTAGGTATTTGGGGGTAGTTGGTGCTTTGGATTGGCTTGCATGGGTGTCCAGGAACCCCTTCCTGGGTATATTTGAACCCCCTCAGCCACCAAACCAAATCCACCGCGCTCTCGCGGGCAGGTAGAGCCCCTGGCGGAAAAAGCAAAAGTCGCCGGCGCAGCGGGGCTTCGGGGCTTCGGGGAAGATGTGTCACGCCTTGGTTGCCCCCAGTGAAAACGAATGGCCCAAGCAAAAACCCATTTTGAATGATAATCTTTTGGCAAGCAATGGTGCTTCTGACTCCCAGGGCCAATGTTTGACTGTGCCGCGGGATTTTTAAGGGATATGGTGAGCAAGCATGCGGTTTTCAGCAAGCGAGGTGCCAAAATCGGGTCCTCGACTTGCCGCCATGCGAGAACTTGTCAGGGTGGCTTGTCTTTTCCTGGAGGAGTAATTTGTTCCAAAGGGGCCAACAGGAAACCGAAGGCCATTTTTTGGGGGGTATAAGACACTCTCAAGAAAAGCTCATCCAGCACAGAGGTGCTGCTTAGCCCTTGCCCGTGGCACCAGTGGTTTTTTGAGGATTTCAGATGTTCCTTCCATGGCACTGCTTTCTTGGCTTCGGCCCAAACTGCCGCGCTTTGAAGCGTCCTTTTGGTTTCCCTGAGCCACCAAAGGGCTACGCAACAAAAGACGCGCCCAGCAAAAAGACGAGCGAGCCCCTCGGGAAGCCACTGAGACCGCGAGGAGGGGGGAAGGCGAAGCTCAAGAGCATGTCACGGGGCGACTTTTTTGTTGGTGGTCTCCGAAGCCTCAAGCGCTTGCTTGTAGGTAGGGAAGCAATTTCTACAGGCGCTTCAAGAGCCGCCCGGGTTCTTGAGGTTTTTTGGTGGTTCTTGGTTGGTTTAGAGGGGGGGGTTTCCATTTCGCCCACGAGAAGTGAAGCTTTTAGCAGGGAACGTGAGGAAGCCCAGTTTCTAGGTCCAAGGGTAAGAAACCGCCAGTTGGATGCCTTGAATCCAGCCGGGAGCATTGGAAGCCGAGCGAGCTGCTTGCCTCGGCCTTGAAGCAAAGACCATGGGTGCACACGCAGAACAAAGATGCAGCCAAGCGAAGCCGCCGAAAGAAGCATCTCAGCTGAGCCTTCCAGGGCAAGAAACGCAGTACTGGAAATCATTATGCAGTTGAACCCCTTTTGGAAGTGAAAAGAACAGATGGCAGCTTTATGTGCCGAGTGATTCCCCCATCTTTAGCGTGGCCCCTTCTCTTCGCCACGTGCGACGTGCGGCCGTGCGCCAAGCACCTGGCCCGGCGCGCGGGGCTGAGCTTCATTTCCAGGGCCAGTGGCTTTGGGCGGGAGTTGCCGTAAGAGTCCCGTGGTACCTCACATTCTCGCGGATTTGGGGAATCTGAACTTGACGCGTTTTTCCTTGAACCAAACCCAAGACTGTGAAAATATGGGGTACTTGGCTGCAGCCTTTGCGTAGGGGTGTGGGTTGGAGAGGTCAAGTATTTCCGCACGGTGTTGTGCCAGGTTTGACAGCTTCAGCCCTGACGTCCCTTGGATTTCAGGTCTGGATGAATCAATGAGGCAGCCTTTTCTTCGAGGCACCGCCCCTTACCCGCCTAAACCGGGCTCCAAACCAATTAGGGAACTGACTTGCCGCCTCAGGAGGTACGTACCCTCCAATCACTGATGTGGCTGTGGCTCAAAAAACAAAGAGGTACCCAAAATGGGTTGCCCAATCGGTAAGTGGAAACATGGGTACCAAAGCCTGCGGTTAGCAAACCCCTCCGATCGTTTAATTTTGATTGCCACACCCATTCGGTGCATGTTGCCAAGGGATGTTATTTGGATTCCCCTGAAACCAACTCCCAAAAGGTGTCTTCAAAATGTGGAATTGTGTCCAAGCAAAGATCAACATGAAATTGGTCCCAGAAAATTTGATCCGGTTTTTGGAATTGTATCCCCAGAAAGACACACCCATGTCCCATCGAACCGTTTTCGCTTGGATGTTATTTGAACTTTTGGCCCACTTTTTGGTCCGGAGATCGGAGCCGGCGGCCAAGCCGATCCGCATATCCACTCCCAGAAGTTGAAGCTGGGGGCACGTTTCTGGCAGTGGGGCGGTTTTTCCTCGCCCTGGGTGGCTTTTAAGGCTCTTACTTCAAAGGGGCGGTTTTGGAGGTTTTTCACACCTAGGCAGGTCGTTGTCTCAATCTGGAGAGGGCTGCTTGAAGATAGACTGCATCCACTCAGAGCGGGTTTTGGACTGCATCCACGAGAGGGTTTTGGGGAAGCCTACTTTTCAACCATCCCCTAAACCACGAAGGAATTTGGGATGGGCGCAACCCCGTGCGGCGCCCCCACCTTCAAGCTCACCGTTGGCTCAGGCGCAAGGATGCCCACCCCGAGGTGTGGAAGGGTTCTGCGAGTCGGACAAAGTGGTTGGCTTTGTTGCCAGAGGTTTGAAGGGAAATCAAAGGGAGACCTACCTTCTTGTTGGTTTTGCCTATGTATACATGCAGGGCCAAACTTAATGTATCCTTTCAACATTTTGCCTGTTTTGTTTTCCAGTGTTTTCCTTTCAACCAACGACAAGTCAACCTTGGGGTCTAAGTTTGGCCCATTGACTGTGTTTTGCCAGGCCAAAATCCACTCGCGATTGTCTTGAGAAGTCCATACAGCGGCACAAGTACTCCTATTCAGATGGCATGTTCATCATTCAAGGGGTTTAACGCCCCGCAAATAAAACAGTTGTTGTAGTTCAGCTTCTACGCGCATAGAAGCTTGGAAGCTGACGAAACTTTTGCTGATTGGGGTCAAATTGTTTCAGCTCGGCGCATTGTCTTGTCTTGCGACTTTGAACCGGTACCAGGCAGCAGGTGGGTACCACGCCTTTACAACAACATACGTATATGATGTTATGTATATGATGTTATGTACCTTGTTGGACATGAAAGCGTCATTTGGGAAATCATGAACATGAGTTCAGGTAAGGGGCGACAATCACCTAGCACATGGACCCTTGTGCACGTTCCACCCCCTGGTAAATTTTGCAAATGGGTGTGTCTTTTTTTAGGGCTCCCACTAAAATGGACTCCGGCTTTCGTTTTGGCCGCTCCTTACAACCGCGAAGAAAAGGGGTACCAACTCCGCAAAGCGACGAACCACCCAAATGTGTGCTGACCTATGGCTTAGGCAAGCGCCACACAAAAACCTGGCAACAGCTCGTTGGTGCATTTTGCTTGGCTGTTAGGACTTCAACTTTTTGCCAACTAGTGGGCTTTCCACCAAACCACTAAAAGTTAAACTTTTAGCAGGGGAGCAGAAAGCCATCGAGAGCTGCTTCTTCACATGTCCCATATCGCAAGTGCTGCCAAGGCCGTGGTTGGGGGGGCCCGTTGGCACTGAAGCCGCAGGACGGCCAACGTGATCTCAGCTCGGAACCGCGAGCCGCGGGCTCAACGGTCACGCCGCGGGGGTCAAACCCGCAAGGGGGAAACGGAGGGTCGACAAAATCAAAAAGCGTTGCTAACTTCCTGGGTCCATGAACTTTGAACTTTTTGGGGTTGGACCGTTTTAGTGGCAAGTAAAAAGTTTGGACTTGTTTTTGGGCCATCCACTCAGCAAGTGAGGTCAAACCCAAGAGCTCGCCTTGAGCTTGAGGGTTTCGTGGCTTTTGGTTTGGGCCTTGTAATTGTAAACACCGCGGTCGCGGCGTGCCGAAAGCACTTGGCATGTCACTTGGTGCACGTGTCACGGAACGTGACACGTGCAATGAGGTGGTTTGCGCCAGTCCCGGTAATGTTTGTTTTGTTGTTTTGGTGGGGGTGGGGGGGGGGTTTGGGCGGGTGGGGGTGGGGGTGGGGTGGGGGAATGCTACCTTTTTTGCAGGCGCCAAGCACTTCTTTGAACACGCCGTTCGCAAGAACATAAATACTTGACATGGGGCTGTGGGGCACTTTGAAACCAAGTTCAGTCTGCATACGTTTGGCCCTAATATTACACAACGCCTCGTCGTGTCAAATGTTGGCCAATATTGTCTTTTTCCTTGCACCAGTTGTTGGGGCTTTACCCCCTCCCATTTCAGGTTCATTGTGGGTAGCACCTGTACCATCCCTTTTTACATTAGGGCATATTCCAGGCAAAGGTGCCTTAATTTGCACAGTTGTAGCCCGTAGCTGCGTAACATCCTTGCAACCACCTTCTGTCAACCAGTCCCGCGTACGAAAATAACCCCAGTATGGTTTGCCACTTTGCGGCAAATGGGTTGAACATGGAGCAGAAGCCGGCGTCTGGTTTGGAATTTAGGGGATCCCGTAGGTTTTTGGGATGCTAAACATACTCCTCATTCACCAAGGCGAGCGATTATTTGTGTGATATGAGCCTTTTTTTTGGCGGTGCCCTGTCTTCTTTTGGTTTCAAAGGAAACGAAAAGCAGCATCATCCATAGGTGGGTATTTAGAGACAAGCTGACAAACTTCAAAATCCATACCTATTTCGCACCCCGCGCTCAGGGTGTGCTTCGGAGTCTGAGGTCTCGGCTTTTAGCTGGGCGTTTGGTGCTGGGAGCGGAGGCTTGGGGGGCGGGGGCCGGGCGGGGGGAGGGACGGAATTTGAGCGGTTCATTTTTTCTTGATGACAAGTACCCTACTTTTGGGTGGTTTTAAATGGAATCCAAACGGAAACCCACTCTTTTGGGGGATCCAATTCAACCAGACCTGGTCCCCAAGATGAATTCGGTTGTCCGTCGGGTGTCCATTTTGAGTGGGTTCATCCTGGACTAATCCTTATGGATTTGTCAACCTGAGTTGATTAGTCCTTTTGCGAGATTCCAGTTTGGTGGCTCATTGGGCCTCAACCCCCAGGTAAGTAGGTTGATATGATTTCAGGTGTTTTCCGCTGCCTGCTGTTTCTCAAGACGGATATTCCGCAACACCAGGCGAAGGTCCAAAGTTGGACCTCCAACTCCCGTAAGGTTCCTTTTTTTTTCAGGTGAGGGAGTCGGAGGTCCAAAACTATGCGTCCCGTCGGCTTCAAGATCACCATTTGGATCCTTCACTGTTCTTGGCATGTGTTTTTAGTTTTTTGGTTTTTTGGTTCTGTTCATTTTTGGTGGGGGTCTGCAAAAAACAGTCAGTTTTTTGCTACCATACCAAGAGTAGAGATGGATCCATTGGTGTGATGTTTAAAGGGGAGACATGTTGGAAGCCCAGACTCGCGGGTGAGAGCCCGTAGAAACCTTGCAGGCAGTGGAGAAGGAGAACTGCAAGGACCGATCGGTGGGTTCGCTTTGCCCGACTTGTGCCGTTGGCAAAGCATTTGCAACCCTTCAGGTTCTGCCTTTGGTATTCAACATCTGCTTGCAAGTGTCAGATATGTGTATATAGTTTCTTGGGGGGATGTTGGAAGCACCGGAACCGGGAGCCCTAAATCAACCGTCAAGCGCACGTTGCGCTGCTTCTTATACCTTCCTTGTCAATGGTTTGAGAGGTCGAAAATATCAAGACCCTGTTTCTTCCCCAGAATTCGCTCCCCTTGTTCTTTTCTTTTTTTGCTTTTTGGGATTCCGTTTGTTTTCCACTAACCAGGCGACAAACAAAAGAAGCTGGGGTCCGGTTTTTCCAGCCTATAGCTTGGGTTTCGAAGGCCGATTGTACAGCATGGCTCGACATATCCTCAAGGTCCAAGGGCCAACCGAATTCCCTATAGGAATGTGATTCCCCGAAATGCGGGAGACGGTAACTTCACCAAAGAACTGATTTGGGGAGTTGGGTTGGGAGTATTCTGAAAGCCGTAGCTGGGTTTTCGCAGACACCTGAGTCACAATCAAAGCGGTAAGTGGACGGCCGTTTCATTTTTGTACATTGTTCTGGGTAGACCACTTGAATACCGGGTTTTGATTGTCATTTACCTGACTCTGATTCTCTGTCCACAACCCGGTTGGGCTGCTCGCAAGGAAGAGGTCAACGAGGATGAGGAGTTCCGAAATCTGCGGAAGCAGGCGCCTTCCTTGGAAGAGTCCCCAAAATCGGTGTTGTTTTTCCCCCCCGCAGTTGTATTTGTTTCGCAGCCTGTTTTTTGGTTTCGCAGTTGTAAATTGAAACCAAGAGGAAACCACCATTGTGGGGCTCCCCGGAAAAAAGCAAGACACACCCGTACTCCCCTTTCGGGTGGTTTCCATCATCGCCTTGTTGGCCCAATATAGGTGAGTTTCCATTGAGCCCTGAATCTCAGATGGATCCGATATCTTCCAATGCATGTTGAGGGTTTGGGTCAAAGTTGGCTCACTTCCTGAGTTGCTTGACAGACCGTTTCAGTGGCAAATACCAAGTTTGGATTTGTCGGCCATCCACTGCCCCAATCCTGCTGCATGTCCAAGTCATCAAGGCCCGAAGTGAGTTGAAGAACCCACCAAACTGCTTGTGGTTTTTTGTTTGTTTCCCTTAACCCCAAAAAGGGCACAACAACACACACACACACACAAGTCCAATTCGAGGCCTCGCAGCGCAGCGGTCTTTGCTCTTTTGGATCACTTGGGTTTCGCGGAAGGACTGAAGAAGTGGTGGCTGGTAGATAGCCTTTGCTTCCAGACAACCAGAAATGTTTGATGTAGCCCAAAGGAAACTGCAAGAGGATGGATTTGCCAAGAGTCTCCAAGACGCAACTGCTCATATGCCCTAATCACCAGTACCTGCATGATTGCTTAGCAGTTTCCGCATCATAACTGCATTTAGCGCAAGGGTGTCGAAGGATGCCAAGTTGTCTCCAAACCTGATAGTAAATGGACTGCCTGCAAAGTATAGAATTTAAAGCCTCTTTTTTAAGGCATGCGCTCAGATGAGATCAGCGGTGAATCGCAGCTTTTCAAGGGAAAATCCAGTGACCCCTGTCGCTTTAATTCCCGCGTAAGGGGATTCGACAGAGACACCCTGTCAAAGTTATGGATTGATTAAAAGGATGGACTTGCGCTCCTTGGTCAAGCTTTTGGGCCAGCCACTCATTCTGAAAATGCCAACCTTCTAGGGGTTGATTCCCCATTCTTTCCAACCATCGTTCTTTTCAAAAACAAGCTGTTTCCCTGGGTTTTTGATGGTTTCCTGAAAAGAAGGATCCCTGGAAAGAATGGGGAAGCCAGCCGTAGAAACTTGGCCTTGTGAGTGCTTTAGGCCGAAATCATTTGAATGGGGTTGGGTGGGCTTTAAATCAAACTACATTCATGCCGGGAGAAGTATGCGCACAAAGATTCAGCCACTTCTCAGTGCCACAAACAGGAAATTGATCTTCCAGGCACTCTCCAGGTGCTATGTTCTGGGAGAGTGGGTAGTCTCCTAACCTCTCGAGATTGTATGCCCTGTTCATGGTTTGCAGGAGGTTCCGTCTAAATCCCCATTGTTATTTGTCCAACTGGAAATGGAAAATTCACCAACCCCAAAAAAGTGTCCCTTTTCCCCGATTTGGGGGTGTCCTTTTTTGAGGGTACCCCTTTTTAGCCGGTTTCACAAGGACATCAAAAGGAAAACCGATGCCATTTTGGGAGTCCAATTCCTCCGAAAGACGAGCAACCCAGTCAGGTCACTGTGCCAGGATTTCTCTGGGTTTCCGTTCAGGAACGGAGAAACGGAAAGCGTTGCCCAAGGCTGGCGGGGTTGGCTACATGGAAGCGGGCAAGTTGGAATTTGCGCTTTGTCCAATGGCGACAAAGAGCTTTTTCAAGATCCTCCGTTGTTCAGTGGCACCAATTATTTCCCCCTTTTTTTTTGTTCAGTGACAACAAACTTTTTCAAGATCCGCCCAAACCCTCCCACTTACTCAGGCTCGCAGTTTGGTTGGTCAACCACCTGGGGTTTCGACTTCGCCAACCGGACCAAGGCTCCAAAAACAAAAAGGTACCAAAATGGGTTGCCCTGATAAGTGGAAAAAACATGGGTACCAAGACCTGCGGTTTGCCCCTGTTCTGTAATTTTGAGCCACACCCAACTGCAAACACCTGGGGTTTCGGTTCACGGGTTCCAGACTTCGCCTGGACCTCACGGCGGCCTACGAAAAGCCTTCGCTGACGCTTTCAGGTGCGGCAGCAGATTCTGGACATGGACAAGAAGCGGCTTCCCCGCCCGGGAAGCCCAGAGATGAGGCCAGCCGTGGGACCGAAGAGTTGATTGCAAGGGTGGCCCAAGTGGGGTGGTTTAAGGCTTGTTGATAGTTTAGTTTGGATAGAAATCAAGGCTGGCCCAAATCATGGCAAACAAGGTTTGTTTCAAGGTTTGGCTTCAAGGTTGGTCTCAAGGTTGGTTTCAAGGTTGGGTTTGGGGTTAGTTGAGGTTGGGGTTAAGGGTGGGCGTAGGTTTGGTGTGTCGGCTTAGGGTAGGAGACCAGGCCAGGAGACCAGGAGGCCAGGGGATTGCATCGGCCTTTTGCTCGGTGAGTTTGGGCAAGGGTTCCAACGGGTTTAGATAGGTTTTATGTCCCCTTTTTCAGAGAAGCCCATCGGTTTTATGTCAAAAGGTCAGGTATGGTGGTTTCGTTTTGGTTTCCCTTCAACCCCAAAAAGAGCACGTAACCCCAAAACAATAGCACCGCCCCATATTGGGCCTTTCCGCATGGGGGGACAGTGGGCGGACAGGTCTATGGGGGGACTTTTCGGGGCAACGCAGTTCTCAACGGGATCAAAGCTGCGGCTTTGGTGCTCAGCAGGGAATGTGAATTTTCCGTGGGAATGAACCGTGGATTCCCGAAGCAAGGCACGCATGGGATGAAAGGTTCATAGCATTTTTGGGAGTCATACCATTTTTCATTCCCTGCTGAGGATCAGCAAGCCTGGATGGGATTCCATTTTACCACAAGGCTGGCCAGGTGAGGTTTCCTTGACTCCGGTTTTCTACTTGGATATTTAACACATTCATCGAGCATTTCCTTAGCCTCGCTTGTTTTGGGTGTATCATGTGTTGGTGGGTTGGATCGAACAAATCATAGTCAGGCTCTTGTCTTGGTTAGGGTAAGCATCCGGTCAGGGGACAGGGGTTCGTCAACACGAAAGTAGTTGCAACGGTTTTCATCAAACTATGGGACCTGGCTGGAAGCTGGGGAATGTTCATACCCGTCCTATTAGAATCCCCCCCTGGTATGAATAAACTGGGGTTGATGAATCTGGGGTCAACATTAGGTCACAAGCATGCAAATTTACTCGAGCCCATATCTCGATTCACCGCTCTTTAGACAACCTACGGGTTTCCCTTTATATGGGTCTCTCTTTTTTCAACCAGCGGTTTTGGAAGGGGGGGGTTCAAGGGAACCACAAGGAAACCCACCATTTTGGGGTCCGATTCCGGGAAAAAGACGAGCCATTGGGGCCAGAACTTGGGAGAAGACACATGGTTGCCCCTTGAGCGTTGGCTTAAAAAAACCAGCGGCACTTTTGTGTTTGCCCTATGCATACTGAACCAAGGACGACCCTCTTTCACCCAGATGACGCTCAGCTCCCGCCGGGCATCAACATTGAAATGCTACGCCGCGAAAGATGGACGGCTATTGTGCCGGTTGGAGACCGACATGCGAGCTTTGACCACTACGATCTTTGGCAAGTGACTCTGCGGGAAACTGCCCAGGCTTTCTTTGGACCGGTAACACCCGATTCATTGCAGTACCACCACCTTTGGCTCCGACCACCGGTGAAGCTATTGGAGTTTTGGACCAAGACTCAGTGTGGGATGCTCCATCGCCATCATCGCCGGGAGACCATATTGCAGAAGGATACGATGACATGTCAATGGATTTGGGCATGGTTGTTGTTGGGAAACATGTTTTACATCTTTGCTGATTGTGGTTCAGTGGGAAATCCCCACTCAACTGCTAAATGTTTGACACTTTTTGCTCCCCTTCCAACGTCAACCAAGTGGGGTTCCCATTGCCATGAACATTGGAAGCGCATTGTCAAGAGCCAAGATCCCTATCAATGGAGCTCTAGACGGGTTCCGACATTGATCAGCCGAAAGGTTCGACCAATTTGCTGCCACTGAGTCAAAGAGGGCACCGCCAGATCCCTGGCACAACCCCTTAGGATAAACCACTAGTCAGAGTGAAGGAGGGGTATCTTATGCATCCTATGTTTTAAGTAAGGCTTAACTGTCATATTGCCATGGTTTGCCTTTTCCACTGTTTGTGGGATACATAAGCAGCCTTCCTGGCAGTGTAGTTTTCAAGGGAGGCTGTCATTTCGGTGGAAAAGGCAAACCCTGCCCTCAACCATCAGAGTAAATGAGGGGTATCCTATGAATCATTTGTTTTAAAGAAGGCTTAGCTGTCATAATTCTTCTTTGGGGTTTGGTCTGGGACCTTCTTCGTCAGCTCAGGCACCAACACCGGGAGCACTGAGGCGCCGCTGAGCGCGCGTCGGCCGCCGCAGCCCTAAGTCACCGGTTTTCTTCCCCAGAATTAGCTCCCCTTTTTGTGTTGTGCCTTTTTGGGGTCCTTTGCTTTCCACTAACCAGGCAAAAAAGATAGATATATATATATGTATATGTGTTTTGCTGGGGTCCTAATTCCAGCCTAGTTTTGAGTCATGTGAACACGGGGTGTTCGAGGACAACTACCCTCCCACGTTATCATGGCACCTGACAGGGGTTCCCTGCAAGAGAAGAATGATCTTCCACATATCCTTCCACAGATTCTAGGTTAGTCGGAGGAAGGGTAGAATCAAAACCATCGGGAACCTGCCACCCCTTTTTTGGGAACATGGCATGCTGTTTTAATGGTGAGCTGACCTTTTCTTTGGAGTACGAGCTCACCGAGATGTTCTTTGGGGGGTCTCTGCATTCCAGGTCTTGGACTTGAGTTGGCAGATACTTGGGTCACCGGGCAACCCGGGGCTTTTTCAGTTTGACCTTCTCACGTGCCCCAAAGCGAATCGACCCTTCACTTTTAGATTCCCCGTGTTTCAACGCCCGCGAGGTGAGCAGCTTTGCTTTCGTCAAGGGAGCCACTTGCTCAAAACCTAGATGAAGGTTAGCAAGGGACGATCCCCTTGCCATAAATAGCTGCGGATATCCGGCTTCTTAATCCTTGAAGCATGGTTCTGGGTTCACCATTTTTGTACCGATCGGTTTTGATTGCGACTGGGATGTCAAGGGGCAGAGCCGGACCCATGGGCCTATTGAGATATTTGGCGGGTGCAACCTGCATAGAGACTCCCTACTAGGAATCAATCCAACACGAAGACCGATCCTAGCGAACCGGCAAGCAAGGCAAATGCTCCCCTTTCTGTCAGATGTTCTTTTCATTTTCTGCATTTGTTGTGTCTTAGGAAACCACTCGTAAGCGGTTTCCTTCAACCCGTGTTCCAAAGACACAGGGCTTCTGCCCATGTTCTAAAATTGTGTTTCTCCTCTGAGCATCAGTAAATGGGACAGGTACCCCACGTCCAAACGTCCACACCAAACACATGAAGTACCTGTCCCATAACGTCCAAACCCAAATGTGGGTACCTGGACCCTCAAAAATCCCTTAAAAATGGGTTTGACCCCCAAAATTGTGGGGTGATATCCCATTTTTATGGGTAGTTTGAGGGTCCAGGTACCTCAATTGAGTAAAGCGAGGAACATGGGTCTGGCTGAAGAACTCGCAACTTCAGCGAGTCGTCACTCGCAGCGAGAAAGACGCAGCGATTCGTTCCGAGGTCCCGCGGCATTAACACTGCGGCCGCTGCAGCTCGGGCCTCGAATTCGGTGATCCGCCGGTTGATCACCTCGTGCGTCGAGAACTGCCGCTTCGAAACGCTTCTTGGGCGTTTGTTCTTTTGGGGCACGTTTTCGAGGTTGGTTGAAAGGGAGTCGTTTTTGGGGTCCCCCTCATTTTGACACATGCTCGTACCCTCCGACCACCTATATTTTTACCTTTCAGACTACCTTCGCACATGTTTTTCGTGGCGAATGGAAGCGCTAGCTTGAAGTGGCTGAAGCAACAACTTGGCTTTGCGCTGGAAATTCGTGCGGAGTAGTTCCCTTTTTTTCATTCCTTCCAACCACTCCAAAAAAGGAAACCTCAAAAATAGACACACCCACATGTACTTTACTTTGAAGTACACCCTCACATGTTCCGATAGACATGTTCGACTCACACCAAATTTCTGGCAGTAAAACTAGGCACTTGGAAGCTCCAAGGACGCCAGACCTCCCAATGGCCTTCTTCCATGCCGGTTTGAGGCACTGGCGGTTGCCTTTGAGAGTCGTGAGTCTGGGCCAATGAACTGTGTTTCTCTTAAAACAAAAACTTCCATTTGCTTAAGATCATATTTTTTTTTATTTCCCCCTGTTTAAAGGGAATCTATCACTACTGGACATTTTGTCCATGGGTCTTCGCCAAATGGAAGAAAAGCAAGCCACGAGGAGAATGTACAGCCGGACACTCATGTTTCCTCACAAGACGCCAGCCCTTGAACGAGGCTGACGAATCATCGTTCTCAGCAAGAACCCGTAAACCTTGGTAAGTTGACCGGGGCTCTCTGAAAGGGGGTGTTGGCTTAGAGGGGGGGAATTAGTTTAACGATTGTTTGATTGTCCATGGTCAGCCTTTTCACCTTTTGCGGGGGCCATGTGTTTGACTGCTTCTGAGGAGTATCAAAGCCAGAAAATGGGGTTATTTGCCTTTTACTTACCACTTGGGCGACTTTGATCATGCCCCCCCCCCCAAGAAAAACAACAAAAAGCAGGGAGTGCTTGTTTGCTATTGTACGTTAGTGGTTGGTAAGCATGGTGAATTAACCCACTGAAGGGAGACTTGTAACCATGGCTTTGGATGATTTCACCAGGCTTACTCTCACCTCACTCACCCTTCCATTAACGTGGAACCTGACAGGGGGGTCCTGGTTTGGACCGTTTTCCTTTTCAAGGGACCAGTTCCCTGTCAGGTTCAGGGTTGTAAGATCACTCGCGTTTTTTCCCCACTGTGATACCAGGGGAATCCCTCCTCTTGTGTGGGGGTGAGTCTTTGGGAAGCACTTTTGGTATCACAGAAGCGGAGTCCATTTCCCCCAGCCCTGGTCAGGTTCCACGTGTTAGCTTGGAGGCTACCGAATCGATCGAGCACCGAGCACCAGGTCTTGCAGCCCTCCGGCGCGGCCCTGAGGAAAATCGCAGGGCTTCGCCGGAATCGCCGGGGGTCGCTTTTTTGGTTCATTAAAAGTGGAGCCTTGGGAGGATGCCAACATCCGGTGAGTGGAAGTTTTTTTTTGTTTTTTCTTCCGAGGGGGCCGTTGAATATGAAAACTGGGGGGGGTCCATGTAGCAAGGTAAGCGTTGGGGTGGCTCCCTGTTGAACATCCTGGCAATAGGTTGTTTCTTTTTTATGGGTTCGGTTGGGGTAAAACGAAGGAAAGCCATGATGTTGTTTTGGAGTTTTCAGCCTTATGTGTTTTGTCCCTTCAGACAGGGGGTTCCCTGACAAGATGACATCATGTTTAAGTTCCCTGACAAGATGACATCATGTTTAAACATATCATGGCTTAGGGAATTTGCTCGGAGATGTCGGGGATGATCGCAGAACATGGCACTGCGTCTTGGACCTGCAGCATAACTTCTCATGTTTTGCCTTAGGTCTTGTGCTCCTCTGTTGCTTGGCAGTGTTGTCTTGCGGCTCATCCTGTGCTTTCTCCTCTCTTTCAAATTTGCATGTTATATTTGGACTCCCTATTCGGTTTGGTGACGCAGTCACACAACCCTATCCTGGTTTCGTGCGTGTCCACTGTCCTGATTCCGGGGCTGTTTCCTTTTGATTTTGCAGGCCTTGGCCCCTGCCTTCCCCTTCCCTGGCATCACTTCCGATTGTGGTTCATTGCTCTGGGCAGGTCTTGCTGTTCTCGCGCGGCTCGTTTCTGTTGTGGCTGCCTGCTTTGTCGGTGATGGTCTTCATGAAACATGCCACAAAATAGACGACCCTCAAGTTGTCAACTTGAGGGAAACTTGCATATTCACTTTTTTTCGCGGTGTTTCGCGAGCCCCGGCCATTTCAAGTGAGCCCCGGCAGTGTTTTGTGACTTTTTCGATCCGCTGAATCACGAGTTTCTGGTGAAAACAGCTGTTTTCCCAGTGTTTTGTTTGTTTGTGTTGTTAGAAAAACGAAGACAATAATTCCTTCAATAGAGTTTGTATGGTCATTTTTCTTTCTATTTGTTTAAATCATTTCTTACGTGGTCTTTATGTATGTATCGGGCTATCTCCTTTTCTTTAGTAGTAGTGTCCGCTTGCACCAGACAAACAATCGGGCACAACATCCAAAACCAGAGGGCGCTGCCGTGCTTGCCTTCTGACTTTTAATCTGCCTCACTCATCTGCACCTGTTGGGGCTCAATTTTTTCATCTCGTGGCTTTCCAACCCCCCCCCCCCCAGCCCCCATGACTCAAAGGGAAGCCGAAGAGAAGCCGCTGCTCCATTTTTACTCGGTTGTTGTTGGGAATAATTTTACATTTTCGCTCATTGTGGTTTAGTGGTTAAAACCCCCCACTGAACTGCTAAAATGTATTTCTTTGCTCCCCTTCCAACGTCAACCAAGTTTACAAAGGTTGTGCCGTGGATCCCATTTACTTCGACTACAACGCGGCAACCAGGACAGCGGGTGGGTAGCTCCGATCGGGCGGGAAGCCGCCACTCGTGTGGAGTTGTTCCATTTTGAGGGGTTCTCAAGCTCTTTGGGGCGGGGCTCCTTTGAACCACCATTTAGAGGGTAAGTGCAATATCTCAGTTCCTGAGTTCATGAACTTTGAACTTTTTGGGAAGACCGTTTTAGTGGTAAATATAAAGTTTGGACTTTTTTTGGGCCATCCACTCAGCCAGTGAGATATGTCTATGTATGTTTTGGGGACTTGTTGGTGGGGTCCCGGGTCCGTCATTCTAACATTTGAACGCCCACGAGTCTCAACGGTAACCTCTGCACAAGTGGTTGGTGGACATAGATTCCCACCATTTAAGGTGTGCACCAAAGGGGTTCTGCCCTACGAACCCCCCCCAAAAAAAAACATCGATATGTCCACCTAAGATGTTTGGGGGTATCCCGTTCATGGCCATCCTAAAACCGATTCCATCAGGGTTCGAGGCTGAAGTTTGGCGCTTGGATGACTCACACCAAAATGAACCGCGGGCTGAACATCCCCACCGTAAATGGGTGTAGCCGCATTTTTAACTCCTTACACGGTTTTGGATAGACCCAGGTTTTGATTCTGACTCACATGCTGCCGTCTTTCCCTCCCTGGTAGTTTGGTTGGAGATGTGCTGGTATTTGTCTATGGTTTCAAAAGGCACCAGGTTTAAGGCAACATCGTATTCTTATGACACCTTGGCAGAACCAACAGTCAATTGTTTTTGTTTGGACCGTGATCAGTGCTCTCGACTGATTTCGTTCTTTAGTTGTCCCTGCAACCCGAAGCTGCCTCAAGGATTCCGACAATTAGGCTCTTCAAATGCACAGAATTAATAAACCAAAAACACATATCCGGGGTATATATATATATATACATATGCATACATGTATATATATATATAGGTATGTATACATGATTTTTCTCAACATAGGGGAGCCTGAAAATTAGTGGTTTTCCTGTGTTTCCCTGCAAGACCATCCGAAAGAAAAGGGTCCTCACAAAAGACACCCTTATTTGTACACGGTATCAATGCCGAGTCATCTCGACTTTTTCAATTTTGCTTATCAACGCGGGAAGATGCGCTGGTTTTCCTTGAGCCCACTTCCCTTCAGAAGCAACGAGCAGCAAGCAAGCTGTTCCAGGACTTTCTTGCACGCCTTGGACCCGAGAGTTCAACCAGTAGTGCATGGTTGTTTTCTCCAAAGGGGGTGGCAACCCATCCAATGAAGTGGCACTCGGCTTCTGACCCCGGATTAATCAACCCCTGTTTATGGGGGCGTCTCTGGTTTCAGTGGGAGGGGTGTTTCCCCCCCAATTTTAAGAAGCAGGGATGTACCAACCGGGAGTCAACCTTAGGTCCCTTACAAAGTATTCTTCGATTCTTGTGCCTGTAACCCAACTTTTTTTTTCAGGCCGCCAGGGCAAGCTTCCTAAAGTGTTTCAACTGCTATGCCAGCAACCTGAGCCGCCCTGAAGCGGCAAAAAAAAAGAATCGCCAGTCTCTCCACAAAAAAACAGCAAACGCCCAGGCGATATGTCCAACATCCGGAACCCGGAATCGCGAATCCGGACACCGGACACCGGTCAAGAACCCTAAACCCAGAACCCTACCCAGCCCCATGGACCCGCAGAAGCTATCGGGGGACCCTGAGCCCCGGAGGCGCTCCATCCAGAGTCAGCCCTCCCGAGTGGCAGCTGCCCCCCTTCAGCTATCCGCCGGGGGAAAGCCGCTGAAGAACACCAAATCCGCAGGTGCAACCAGCTTCCGCTCATTTTGTTTAAAACGACTCTTTCTTCGAAAGGCTGGGGCACGGCCCTTGTTTTTTTTGTTAATGGAAATCCAGGGACCATCTGAGATGGCGGGAAAAAAGAAAGAAAGAGGATTCCGCTACTTATGCTCGCCACTTCAGGAGACTCCGTGAAGCCGCTCAGGCGGAGAAGGAGAAGGCTGCAGGCCCTTTTCCCCGGAAGTTTGCTGGGTGACGTGGTTCGGGACACGTACATAGGCCGAAGGCTCTTTGCTAGGAGTGTGTCTTGTTGTTGAGGGTGACTCCTAAATATGAGGGCCTTAGACCCCCAATGGCCTTGTTGTTTGAGGTCTTGGGCTCCTAGGGTGCCAGTTTTACTTCAACATGTAGAGTCTGGAAAGAAACAAGACAAGGTCAATCTCAGACATGGGCAGCCACGGAAAATGGGTGGGGCCGAACCCAACAAGGGGCACCCTCAAGAACCAACCGCACCTACGGCCGAGCATATGGACCGCGGTTCAGCCGAGGGCACACGATCCCGGGGTCATGAAGGGATAATTGAGGTCTCATTAACCTGCGAAACGGGTCTGGTCTTGAACTGGAGAAGCAGATGCTTTGTTTGAGCCTCGGTACCCCTTGTGCTGGTTTTGAGGGGGAAACCCAAAAGGGCAACCACTGCTCCATTTTGGAATCGGACCTGGTCCGATTCCTTAAAAACCACTCTTCTTGTCCTTCTTTTTTTAATTCTCAAGGGATAGAGCTTATTTATTTTTGTCTTCCGAGGTTCCCGCCCCTCAGGCTTCCCTCGAGGGATTTGAACGGGTCCCTGGTTCTTGTAGAGGGTAAATGGGACAACACCCGGAACACCACCAAACCGCCAACTCAAACCACGTTAACTAGGGGAAAGCTGATATTCTCCATCCAATTATAAACCGCCAACTCAAACCACCAACTAGGGGAAAGCTGATATTCTCCCTCCAAGTATTCTGTCAATGGAACAAGTAGAGACATCTGCCACCTTGTTCGCCCCGTCCGTTTTCAGCGAGCAACTGTTGCAGGCGACCATGATGCTCCAAAGATCAAGGCCGGAATCTGGGATTCCTGGTACCCTCATCCAAAGTGCTGGAAGTTGACAGAAGGGTTTTAGAAGACTACAGTTACGTCCAAACAGTCCCGGAAGTGGACAAGAGGGTTTTAGAAGACTACAGTTATCTTGAAAAGGCCCCCTGTCAACTTCGACTTCAATGATCGCTGGAAACAGACTTGGATTGACTTCGGACCGATCTGGGCAATTTTACAACGACACCAATGTGGTTGGGTAGATCGAGGTATACCACAAAGGCTCTTTGACTTGGGGGGATTTCGGAATCAAATCCAGAGTAAAAATATAAAATGAATGCTCAGAAAGTTGGGCTTGCCTTTTTCCCGCCACTTGCTGCAGGACTCTCGAGGCTCAAACCTTCCCGTGACCCCTTGCCACACCGTGGACTCCCAACGGCACAGACTCTTCCCCCCATTCTCAAAGAACGGACAGAGGATGTTCGCAACATCGAAGTATCCAAGCTTTTTGCAAAACACGAAGACTATATTCTTACCTCAAAGAGGCTTGTTCAAGGTTCAAACCCTCGCAATGGAGATCCCGATGGAGGGTCCTTTCTGCAGCATTGCGCGAGCTGGCTTCAACGGCTATTCAACATGTACTCTTCCACCAAGGGATTCATGCATGAATCACAAATAAAACAGCGCTGTGAAAGTCGATGGCACAATGCACTTGTGGATAAGGAAAGGGGACTATAAATAAATAAATAAATAAATAAATAAATAAATATATATATATATATATATGTATATATATTCATATATATATATATATACCGGGACATTGGTGCCCTCTACTTGAACCCTGTATATACAATAAACCATTCATATCAATGTATTGTTCGATCCCTTTGGAAGGCTGTTGCCATGCAACGATGTGATACACCCCAAACATAAAAGCAAGTGTTTGGTCTTGTTTGTCGCCAGTGGGGAATCGCAGGTTTGTCTTGAGGAGTTTGTGGGTGTGTGCTTTTGGAGGGTACCTTTTTTCAGGTTGGTTTCATTCACAAGGCCCGTCAACCTCAAAACCGCTTCTTCCACAGCCATGTGGATTTTTTGGAGCGGTGGTGGAATTCCAAAAAGCCTCTCAGTTTTCCAACACCCGAAGCACCAATATGTTTACGGTCTTGAGTCTGGTTCAAGAGGGTTCGTCAATCACAGATTTCCGAACTCCGTGAAAATATGAGGTAGTTGGACCGTTACGGAAAGGTCATCCCCTTTCATTTCCAGCACCTATGGCTGGCGCAAATCCTTTGAAGCGTGAACATCACGGAAGGAATGCCCATTCGTTGACGTTCTGAGGAGCTTCTTGTATTGAGCCATCTTGACTGGAAAGGCTGAAGTCACAAAACAAACACTCCAACTGGAGTCCATGAATGTTGCCCCCAAAGTACCCTTGTCAGGTTTCCCCTAATTGGTGGTTTGGATTGGTGATTTGCGGAATTTGAACCCCTGGTTCTTGTTGGTAAATGGGAAATCACCCCTTTTCACCACAAAACAACCAATTGTCAAACCACCAACTAGAGGGAAGCTGAGATTTCTACGGGGAATCTGGCAGGAAATGGTCACCTTCCTCTCCTCGCAGGGCCTGTCAGGTCCCATCAGGTCAGGAGTCGGGGGTCGGATTTTTGTCATCGGTGGGTTTGCCAGCAGACAAGACCACACGGCGTGTTTTTGGTCGGTTGATTTTGAAGGAACGGCGACCACCCAAGGAAGACACTCACTTGCCCGAAGCCGACTTTTTGACCTTTTTGTTTTACCATGTTGGTCCTTCAGGAGAAAGCGGTTTCCCGATAAATCAACAAACGCCATCTAGTAGCAAGTAACTCCCAATTTGTCGGAAATGACCCGCTCAAAAGGGTTGCATGTTAGTCTTGGCAAAATTGGAAAAGGAGATCTAAGGAGCTATACTCTACTCCAAAAGAATAATTTCTTGCTACCTGACTCGCGGTACCTTCAAAACCCTTCCGATAGAGGTCCAATGCTGCTTGAATTCTTCCATTTGCATAAGAACATGTTTATTTTCCCCTGTTGGTTTTAATGGGAATCTATCAACCGGACATAATCTCACTGTTTTCCCAGGGACTTAAGCAAATGGAGGAATGGAGAAAAGCCAAGCAGAGCGACCAGGGCTTTCTTGCAGAATCCAAGAGTGCCTTTTTCTCGATCGGGCCGATGATGGATGTGTGTCAAAACCATGGCCCCCTCACCAGAGTCACCAGTGATGCCTAGCAACCCAGCCACATGACGAGTATGTGTTTGACGTCTTCCGCGAGGGCGTTTGCTTCCACATGCGTCGAGCCACGCAATGTTCCCAGGTGTCTAGCTGTACAATGCGCAAGCGTTCTGGCTCACTGATCTCTCGTACCTGTTTTGGCGAACTCTTGTTCAGTACATCCACATAACCAAATCAAACATTCCCTCTCAGGCTTTCCTCCACACCAAGGGTTGCCCAAAGGGTGTCCCTAGTCGGCAGGCTTTCTTGGTTTCCCTTTCAAAGGTACCCGTCTCTGTGTGCCTTCCGGCTTGGCAGGGGATCCACGTATTAAACATCCCCGCCCCCTTAAAGATGGAATTGGGGGTGGGGGGTGACCCCTGGAATTCCATTTATAGTTCCATGTTCCCTTTGGGAAAGACTAGACAAATGGAATCGGGGGACCCCCTACCCCCTCCCCCCCTGAAGTAGGGGGAATAATTCAACTTTGGTTTCCCCCCCACAGCTGAAAGCTATGGATTTTCAGGCAACCCTTGATTGGTGGTTTGGATTGGTGGTTTGGGGATTTGACCCCCTGCTTTGTGTAAAGCATGGGAATTCGTTCCTCAACCACCGAAGCGCCAATTCCCCAATTCAAGGGAAGCTGAAGGAAGCTCGCCGGAGCAACTTTCAGGCAGGGTTCCGGTTCCGGGGCAAGGAACCTGGGCTTCAGTCCCCCGACTCAGCTCCACGCCCCCAGCTCTTCGTTTTTTTTTTTTTTTTTTTGTTGTTTTTTTTTTTGGTTTTTGTTTTTTCTTTCTGCGCCGTTTTCGCAGGGCTTATGCGAAAGCAATGGCGCTGCAGGGTGCAGGGGGGCCCAAGTGCGCGATGCATTTCGTTGAGGTCCTGGTTGGAAAGCCAACTTGTTCAAAGCGAATCGATTTGATCTTGCCTTTGTTGGGTTCCCATTTTTAGTGGGAGCATATTTTTCTGGGTTCCTTAGGGGCAAGTGAGAAAAAGCCAAGATGTTTAGAAGAATCTGTGTTGGGGGTTCGTACTCCCTTTTTGGAATCCATGTTGACTTGCACCGGAGTAAATAGCCTGTATGTTGTTTTATCTTCCTAAAATGAAACCAACGATGGTTTGTTTCTCCGGCGATTTTTTATGCCTTTCTTCCAGACCCCCTCTTGAACACCCAGCTGGACTTGATACACTGGACTTTCGTGGGTCCATCAATGCCCGTGAAGCGCTCCGCTTGTGGATTGCGCTTGCAGTTTTCCCTTGTTTGAGACTTTTTACTCGTCTGCAGGGTTGTCCTGTAAGTCTATATTGATCTATATTGGAAACATGTCCGGGCTCCCCACACATGCTCAGAAACAGCAGCAACGGGACACACCTGTAGTGTGCTGGCTTTGCTTTGGAGTTGCTTGGGGTGTGCATCGCATGCTTATTTCTGTCCGGCAGGTTCTATGAACTACGTACATGACGCTTGCTTTGCTGCCTTGGGCGTGTTAACTATTTTATTTTGTTGATCGCTTGATTTTGTTGCTCGCTTTGCTTGCTTTAGCTTGTTGCTTGGGAGGACTGGCCTTGCCTGCTCGTGGTTCGATTAGATTGGGTTGGGATTGAAAGGCTGCCATGAGAACGCATGTTGAGCCACTAAAGATCGAGGGTACGTAGTGCGCAAGTTTGCGTCAGGAGGGGCATTTGTTAAAGCTGAACTATCTGACGCCGGCACGGACGAACGCAGCGTGAACTTCTATGCAAGACGCCGACCAGCCAATTGGCTGTGCACAATATGCGAAAGCAAGAAGATATCGCGACAAAGAGTTGCTACGGCGAAAGACCAATGGAAGCAAATGAAGTGTCCGTGCACAGTGGTTCAGCGATTTCTCTGAGGTCATTACTTTGGGAGGGGATACACGCCAATCACCGGATTGTTCGAATGGGGTTTCCGACCGCATATGTTTTCCATGGTTTTGACTGTCATACCCATCGGGTGCAACACTTTTGTGTTCGTTTGATTTTAGCAAACTTCTCGATTTGTAAAGCAGCTGGCTGTCCGGAAGAAATCTACGAAACCCTGTTGGTAGGTGTCGCCTTCCTTTGTATTTCAATAGGCTTGTCTTTAACTCGAGTGAGTTAAAAACTGGTGTTTTCCTTTCGGCTGCCCATTAAACTCATCCTCAGCAAATGGTTGATCTTCTTTTGGTTCTCCTTCAAATCTACTCCAAGACTATTTTTGTGTTACGCGAGGCAGCTGCTCAATGTGGCAATTGCCCAGTAGGGGAACCCTTTTCGCAAGGAGCTCACCAAAGAGGGGGGCCGACTTGCTGGAGACCGACGAGCGGATGTTGGAGAAGTGTTTCTTCTCGCCTGCGTCCACCAGCCGGCCGCATCCGCTACACTGCCATTGCAAGTGACAAAGCCTGTCTAAGCTGCTGGCTGGAAGTCATTTTGCCTTACCTTGACAGCGCGGTTGAAGGAGACCATGGAGTCAAGAAGCCCATGGCAGCCAGTCCATTTATAAATTAGAGCTTCCAGACTCCAGATGGCTGTGGGTCAAAAACCGGTACCCCAAATGGAACCCTGGTAAGGGGAAACATGGACCAGATGTTCCAGATCGCAAACTCAGAATCAGCTGCAGGAGCTTGACTAATCCCGCCCACTCTATGGAATAGATACCCACCATCCCCACACAGTCCATGTAGGACATATTTTCCAACGTTTGACCCGCTTGGAGGGTGCATGCGACCAGGTCTAAGATTGGGGTTTCCAGGTTCCACATATCTCCCTTGGTGTCCGTCCGGGTGGTTCCTTGGGCTGATGTTCGCCCCTGGTTGTCCCCAACTCGGCAAGTTTCTTTCGGTGAACTTGGGGAAACACAGGGGGCACAATGAACATCAGACATTTGAACCAAGGAGTCATAATGTTGACCCCGGATGAAGAAACTCAGGGACACTCCCTAGTAACAAGCTGGGGCTGATTAATCTGGGGGCAACAACCTGAAATCCCCCAATTATATGGGCGTGACTTTTTAAACGGGTCCGGGACCCGAAAATGTGGATAGACATCAGACGACGGGGATTCATCTGCCTATTTTAGGGGTAAAACGAACTCACCATGACAAAGGTCCTTTACTTGGGGATCCCTTAGTTCAGCTGTTGGAATTTTTCCAGGGGTTGATTCCCCATTCTGTTCAATCATCGTTCTTTTCAAAACCTGCCGTTTTCCCTGGGTTTCTGGAGGTACTCTGGAAAGTTCCGGATCCCTGGTTCAGAATAAAAATGGAAGGCACCCCTAGAACTATCGTCCAATTGGCTCATGCCCACTCTTCCCCAGAATTAACCGTTGTTTTTTTGCTCTTTGCTTTTTTGGAATTGGTCCCTTGGTTTTCCACTACCCAGGCAAAAATATATATTTTTCGCTGTCCTACTTCCAGCCTAGCACTTTGGAGGCGACTCCATCCCCAAATCGGAGGTCACGGATCCGCGGGGCCTCCTGGAGGCTGACGCTCCCAAGTCCCGCTCTTGGATGAGCTGGGCTCGCCATCCGGTTCCTGCGGCCGAGTCCGCGGGCTTTTTTTTTTTAAAGGTTACCTGGACCCTCAGACTACCCATGAAAATGGGAGATCACCAACCATAATTTTGGGGGTCGAACCCATTTTTAAGTTGGAATTTTGAGGGTTCAGGCTAGTTGGTCTAGCCCTTGGGTTTCCATGAAGCCACTCAAAGTTACACTGTTCACAGGGGATCCAAGGACAGCCCAGTTTTGTCAATGTACTTTTGGACATGAACAAGACTCGCACCACCATCCGAGCGCTCTACTTTAGAGCAGTGCTCGGCCTGAAAGAGTGAGCCACCCGAGCCGCCGGAAGGGTTTTTGGGAAGGTTTTTGAGCATTCACTGGAAATTAGAGGGCTCCTGAAAAGATCTCCATTTTGCAACCACTTGAAACATGTTGTTTTTTCCCCGCCAAAATAAAGTTGGACACCTCCGTTTACGCATTTACAAGTTGCAATGTTCAGGTGTATAATGTAAGGATCCCTGCCACTGCAAGCTGCCCAGGGCAAAATTAAGTTAGCCCTAGGAGCCCAAGCCATCGGGGGTCCAAGGCCCACATATTTGGGGTCTTGGGCTGCTGTGGATGGACGAAACCCTGCGCCACTTTGAAACCACGGCAGACCATTGTTTGCTTTGGCATTTACAGGGGGAATCATCATTCCAGGGCTTCTGAACGGTGGTGCGTTTTATAATTTTCGTCCATCCACAGTAGGGTTGGGCACCAAAGCAAATGGCGCAACACACGCGACACTCCGTCGCCGGGCGGAGAAGCGCGTAGTGGATCCAAGTCTGTTGTGGACGCGTCTCCGGACTGCAGGGCCAAGCGCGCAGCAGTTTGGGAAGGTCGGAAAAGCGTTCGGTCTCCCAGCTGGGTGCCCTTTTACTCTCCCCTTTTTGGGGGGAGGGTTCCCCTACCAAAACAGACTACAGAAAAAGGGGCGCCCTTTCTAACCTCTCTACTGGAGGACCTAGAAGTGTTCGGGGACGCCCTTTGCTCCTTTGAGTGTGATGCTTTCGCCGCAGCCAACAAGAAACGGTTCCTTTTTCTAGCGCGGTCACTGGCTGCCGCAGTCCTTTTGAAGGAAACAACTTGCGCCGTCACAACAACAAAGGAAAGAAAGAAAGAAAGAAAGAAAGAAAGAAAGAAAGAAAGAAAGAAAGAAAGAAAGAAAAATAATGAAAGAAAGAAAGAAAGAAAGAAACAAATAAAGAAAGAAATAAACAAACACCTACCCCCAAAACGACCCCCCTTGGCCCACAACATGGCCCAGGCTGAGCAAGATCCTGTCACTCTCCGAGCTGGAAAGTACCGATGAGTCTGAAACCCAGAACCCGGCGGCTGGCCTTTCGCGGTTTGGAAGTCTGACGCGCCCTTCGGACGGTCCCTTTCTCAGGGCAGGTTGCTCCCAAGAAGCGCGGCGTTTATATCCCTTGCTTTTTGAAGGGCGTCCGTCATTCTTTAACTTGTGCTCCTTCTGTTGGTTGATGTTGCTGATACACCAGTCTAGCTGGTTTTCAAAAGCGCTGCCGATTTTGGTTTGCCGTCGATGGCTTTAAAAGGGCAGCCGTGGTTTGGTTTGGTTCTTGGTTGGCTACTTGTTTTGTTGTGTAGTGAACCCCTTTGTTTGTTGGTTTTGCAAGGGCAGCCATTTTGGTTTGTTTCTGTTTGCTTGCGCTAGTTTGTGTTTTGTTGGCACCCTCGTTGCTTGTATTGAAATGGCATCCTTTGTGGTATGTTCATGTCTGGTCTATCTCGGTTTGTTTTATGTCCGATGGGTTTTCAACTCGGCAATTGGGGTGCCTCTTGGACTTAATGAGCCATAAATCAAAACCAGGGTAGATGAAGTTTAGTAAGGGAGTGTCAGAAATAAGTGTGCCCGCCTCCTTATTTCAGAAACATGGATTTGGTAGAACATTTTACTACCAGGGTTTGATTGTGACTCAAATGTCTTGCTTTCAGAAGGGGAATTGCGACGAACTGCCCACGTTCGGATCCGATGATTGGAAGTGCGAGGGAATATGAACACGCCAGCGAATGTTTGTTTCGCCCAAATCTGCAGAACAGGCTACCCTGGTAGTGTGTTTTGTGTTCTTTTCAGAGGCGTTCAGTCTTCCCATGATGGGTGAACCATGTAAGTTGCACTTGATCCAACAAATGCAGAGGAATCTTCTTGAGAGAACCAGAAAAACAAAACAAACTAGAGGAAATCTAAGAAACAATAGTAGTAATACTACTACTACTAATTCTAATAACAATATTTATAAACAAGAAACTCAAAAAGGCAAGCACAAAGCAGAACGTGATGTAGAAACTCTTTGGTGCACAAACTATTTTGAAATTGTTCTGGAAACATAATAGTTGCACTGTAATTGAAATCCTACTTGGAAGGGACGTACTATTTAAAATCTAAATCTAAATGATAATTTGAAGTGAATGCTAACCGAAATCCAATTTAAACTTAAAGCCTTGCAGTTTGAAACGTGCGAACCAATTGGAATATAATTTGCATTGTCCATGGGTTTTTACCGGTTTTTACTGCTTTGAGGGGCTTGCAAATTAGAAGAAGCACCGAGCTTGTTTCTCCTCCTTAGTTCCTATACAAATCCCAACTCAAGCCTACTTGGAAAGGAATCCCAATGTTCATTCTAATTCAATATACGATTTACATCGAATTCAAATTAAATTATGATTTAAACTTAAAAACTTTTGCAATTGAATCTGGTCCAAATGAATGTGATTTGGGTTTGGGACTTTGGGGTATATCAAATCTTTTTGGTTGGGGTTGGGACTAAGGGGTAGTAACCTCAACCCCTCACGCCCCTGCGGGGGCAGCAGCTGCAGCAGCTGCAGCACCGGACCAGTGCACCGTTGCGCGCGCCTCGCCAGCACATAGGGGTGGTCCAAATGGCATCAATGTCAATCCAACTAGAATTCAAATGGCATCAATGTCAATCCAACTAGAATGATTCAACATGATGGTCAGCTTGATCAAGTTCATTGACCGGACCAAATGGAATTCCGATGAGCAAGGTGCACATGTTTTCTCCTCACTCCTCATCGTCATCATCCACAGGTGAAACAGCACCAACAATCTCCGTTGGCTGGTAAGCCGGAGAAGCTGGATCTGATCCACAGGGTGAGTCATCAGGCCATTGTAAAGGCGAGCCGCACTGTGTCGCCATCTCACGCACCGTGGTCATGTAGCCCGTCTGGGTTCTTCATGATGGGCATCTCCTCAGCGCTTTTCTTGTCACCGCCTTTCACCATCTTCTCAGTGACCTTCACGGCCTTGGCACTCTTCTCAGTGACCTTGACATCGCAGCCACTCTTCGTCTTGTCCTTCACATTGTAGATGTTCTTCTTGTCGTCCTTCACATCGTAGCTGCTCTTGTCCTGGTACTTCACATCGTGGCTGGTCTTCTTGTCGTCCTTCACATTGTAGCTGCTCTGCTTGTCCTGGTACTTCACATCGTAGCTGGTCTTCTTGTCCTTCACGCAGCTGCTCTGATTGACCTGGTCCTTCACATCGTGGCTGATCTTCTTCTTCACATAGCTGCTCTCCTTGTCCTTCTCGTCGAAGATGTCCTTCTTGTCCTGCACGTCGTAGGTCCTCTTCTTCTTCACATCGCAGCTCTTATTGTTGTCGTCATAGATGCGCTTCTTGTCCTTCACGCCACTGCTCTTCTCATCGGTGGCCCATTGGACATTCTTCTCCATGCCCTTGCCCACATTGACATCCTTCTGAGCAGCACCCGGACCCTTTCCTTTCGTCTTTCCAGCACCCTTCGCCTTCTCAGCGCCCTTTGCTTTCATCTTCTCACCACCCTTCACCGCTTGGCCACCCTTCTTATCGCTCTGGGCACCCTTCTGCGTGAAGAAGCTTCGCATTTTGACCTTCTCCTTCTCGCACTTCTCCACCTGGTTCTCACCGCTGTTCATGAGGCGTGCCACAGACCCTGTCATCTTCACCATGGACTTCTTGGCCATCTGCTCGTCCATCTGCTGATCGCGCTGGTCCTCATCCACCTCCACATCTGTCAAGTCCGGGTCCAGCTCCAACTCGTGGCCCTTCCCAGCTTGCAGAGCCTTGGCCCTGGGCTGGACGATCTTGCCCTTGTCTTTGCCCTTCATGCCCTGCTGGTTGCGGGCAGCAGCCCACACATCATGGCTCCAGCCCACGACATTGGTGGCCTTCGCCTTTGCCTTCGCCCCGACCATGCCCGTCGTGTTCACATCCTCGTCCAGCTCCCCAGCTGATGTTCTGTTTCTCGTTGTCCTAGGCTCCTCCGCCGCAGTGCCCTCCTCATAGCCGGCCATCCAAGCATCTTGAAGCCAGGCCTCACCAAGCCAGTTCTCGAAGGCTGTCCTGCACCACTCCTCCCACCAGTCCTGAGGCCAGGCAAACACAGGGGAGACAAGATGATTCAGGACAGGAGCAGGTTGACATTAAAACAAAGAAAATGAAATGTCATATTGAGCTGGGCTGCCATGTTGGCCTCCTGGTAAAGGTGAGGGGGCGGCGGCGCAGGTGGCGGCTGGGGCTGGAGCCCCAACCCCAACCGCTGTCTCAAGCTGGCTAAAGCACCATGTGAGACAGGAGGGGGCGGGAGAGGCGGACGAGGTGGCACAACTCGCCTGCTCATGAGGCCAGACTACTTGCTTGACCTGGAAAAAACCTGTGAAATGCAAACAGTTCAGCACCACATCCAACAAGACGAGATAAGACAAGCCAATCACAGACTCCATGCCATGTGCAACCATGTGTGAATCAGATTCAAGTCCAAATTGAAATGATGGTTCTTTCAGACAGGCAGCTCAACACCCAGGCTTTGTTTTCCGATTGGCGGCCAATCAGATCCCACATACAGACTATAGACTTAGACTCGCAGATGTCTAAGAAGCAACGCCCATCAACACCTTGACACTCAGCCACCTTCATCTTTACCAAAAAGATCAAACAGCAACTGTTGGGGCCAATGGGTAAGCCAGGTTCACAATGTTCCCCTTTTCCATAGGCTAATCAATAAGTTTCAAACTGCCAAGCTTGCAAGGTGCCATTGTAAGGGCAACTATGTGCTATTCTGCAACACCAGAACCTTTTGATCTGGCAATGTTAAATCCTGCACAGCCACACACACTGGCCGCACTGGCTGCATCCCATTCAATGTCGGCCTCAGGTGCCACGCAATGCTGGTGGCTGCACTCATCCACCGGTTCGGCGGCAGCAGCTTCGCTGCTTGGCTTTGGCTCATTTTGACCCCTTGGTCCTCATCCACAGGGCTGAAGGCCACAGAGTTCTCCTGTTCACAAACTGGGTGTAAGATGGGCATTGTTTGAACACAGGAACCATCAAAATGTGGATTCAAAGCATAGTCAAAACATGACTTTTAACAAACAGAAGCACGAGTCCTTTTCAATCTTCCAAGCACCTGATGGATCCTGGGTCACCCTGTGGTAGCAGACTTTGACATTCCCGGGCTGTTTCTTCTTGAGGTCATGCAACATTTCCGCAAAGGTGTGCAGCTTCCCATCCACCATGCAGTAGTTTTCAGGGGCACAGTCAAACACCACTTCCTTATCCTCATTGAGCGGGGCATCTGGCAAGACATGGCGAAACTTGCCCTTTCCAAAGCCAGAAAGGACAGCACCAGCAGCCACTGTCACCTGGGGAATGGGCTTGCAGCGACTGACATAACAATCTTTAAGTTCTTATGTTGCAAACTTCTCACCAACCTAGCAACATCAAACTTGTGACAAAATGTAAGGCAGGAGGCTTGATGGCCACTGGCATTCTTCAAGTATGGGCCAGCAGCAGCTACAATGAGCAATGGTGGATTGTCTGTCTTGACCCCTGTTGGCAACCTTGCATTGACAATCGGCACCTCCGCAAGCTTGGAGCCAGTTGGCGCATCTTCAACAGGAAGCATATGTGATGTCAGGTCCACAACGGCTTTCCTTTTCACCGGGGTTGTAGTTGCCCCCACAGGATTTGCACTGGCACCGGGGTCAAGGGTTGTTCCATTTCGAGGGTGCCGTTCCTCAAAATCCTGCACAAAGGCTGCCCAGCCATCTTTCCCCTTCCATTTCTCAATTTCAGACTGTGGCAGCTGGATGCCATTGATGTCACCATTGGCCTCAGGGAGCAATTGGTTCATCATTAGAATGAGCTTCAGCAAACACCAAATCAAAACCCCAATCCTTGGTCCACACACATCGCTTCAGCTGGGGTGGCTCTGGCTTGGCAGCAGTGTGCTCTTTGGGCGGGTCATCCGGCAACCTGCAATGAAGGGGCAGGAGGACAATTTAACAGTGTTT